AGAACTATTTCTTAAGAAATACTGATATTCCTTTTACCGAAAAATATGCATGGTAGTTATACTGAAATACGACTGTGTAACCCTGAGTATAATATCACCTAAAAACAATTGTATTCGCTGAGGTCTTCCATTTTTTATAACTCAGTGGAAATATATAAGTCTTTTTCAGACTAATATGAGGAAGAACTCCAACAAATTAGCGCAGCTTTAGCTCGAGTGTCTGGTGAAGTACTCACACCAAGTGAAACGAACGCCACAGCAACAGGGTCTCTGAATAAACAAGAATTGAGTGTTTTCTCGGATGGCAGACGCAGAAGCCATGTAAATCAGTCCACTGGGATATTGAGTGCATGTCCCTGGGCAACAGTATACATCGACAGTAATTGAGTTAAATAACAATAAAGTAAAAGGCAGTGCCGTTCATACATGAAAACAAAAGTAAATCCAATACTCGAATACAGTATTTGTAGTGAGTTAGGCTTGGTTGTTAGCTAGAAAGTTAAGTAGAAGCTTTAAAATATTGACCGTATAGCGATTTGTGCTAAGGCTAAGGTGCTGTTTGAGTACCCACGCTGAGACCTTTGGTGTCCTTGGGGAACCACTGCACCACACTTTTGTGTCAGATATAATCGACAATGAAGTGGAGTAACTAAAACGGTAGCCCGTAATCAGAATAGATTTATGCATCAATCGTCTTTCCAGGACCTAGAAGCCCACATGCTTCATCTGTGTCAGATCAAAGTTTCGTGATTACTCTACGTGAATAGCGCGTAATAAGCAGCTCAATTTAGGTGAAAGACATCCACCTCGATTCTTCCACTTATATGAGGACACCTACATCATGTTAAGGTGGTAAACAGGATTTTTCAGCGAGAAACTGCGAACACATGGTTGTATGAGAGTGTTCGAAGAAAAAAAGAGGCTTCTATCCACTCCCAATCATAATAATAGTACCAGCCTGATATTGGCCGCAAACGGCTGGCGCTGATCGTGAACTCTAGGGCAGTGCACACAGATCCCCAGCTCGCACTAACACATCTGAGAGCTCGGCTGATGACGCAATACAGTAATATCGATGCAAAGAGACTAAATAATATCAGCAACTATAAAAAAAGCCACAAGACAGAAGGGGGGATGAATTTTCATGATGTCAAAATTCCAATTAAGTTATTTTCAAAAGTGATCTGCATATGTCCGACCAATCTTAAATCAGATCGTTTAGTCTTGGGTCATAATTTTCAGTTATCTTCCAGATCACATCAAGACAGTCTACACTTTCATATATGGCTCAGACCAATAATCAGAAAATTTATAGAACGGGGCCATTTCGTCATATAGACACCGCTAGTTTTTCATCAACCCTACCTAGCTCCATTATGGCATATTGGAGTAGACGGTGGGCCGGAGTGTGTAAATATATTCTTCCAGGAAATTCAGTAACACCAAATTCATAATCCCAAGAAGTGGTTCGCCTTTTTTAGTAATACTCTACATCACGCCTCTACATTGTTTGTACAACTGTCCCAGCATGGGTGAGGGATAACAAAGGGGTATCTATGATGATAGGAAACAATGGTGTGAAATTCTGCGTGATATGGCTTTAACCGGTCAAAACCTTTATCATCCTTTAAATTTTGAATTATTCTACGAACCTTCGTTTATTTATTCCGTCTCTATTCATACACTTTTGTCCACTCTGAAATCATTCTTCCCCTTTTTATTTCGTCTTTACGTACTGATGTGAAGTGTGGCAATTTGAAGTGACACATTCGTAAACAAGGTTCTATATTCATTTGCTTATCTGTTATGAGGTTAGTAAGAGACAGGACAAGAAATGATAGGAAAAAACCTGTAAAATATACTCAGGATTGTGGTAGGATGAACTGAATATGTGCCATGCACTTTTGGCTATATTACTAGGAATTTCTCGTCAGAATTCTAGCAAAAAATATGGACTCCTTTCATTTTGGAGTTTGTAATCGGCTGATTACAATCAAAACGATTTTAGTATAAAAATATGCGAGAAGTGTTAACATGCCTAGTAGATTAGATTGGAGATTGTCGGTTACAAAATGACATAAATGTTACGCGGCTGAAGCGAATGATTAGCATTACAAGAACTACTAATAAAAGGGAATATGTGTGTGGAAAGATAGCAAAGCAAGTTGGACAGAGGTTTTCTAGATACAAATAAACCAATATCGAGTTAGGCAACAAATAGGGAAGTTGAACAATTTACTTTAGCTCAAAGGACGAGTCGAATTCAAGGAATAAGGTCAAAAGTCTGAAAAAAAGTAGACAATATAAGATTACAAAATGATAATATAACGTGGATAATCTTCATAATCATCCTAAGGTTACCATGGCACGGAAAAGACTAAAGGCTATTTCATCCTGAATATATCAACTTAGTTTTAACCACATAACATCACAAAGCTGAGTTTACCTGTATATCAACTGATTTAAACGATTTCTGAATGTCAACCTTATGCCTACAGTTAATTAGACGATAAGTAATTGTAATGTTGAAAACTTGTGCACTATTCAGTGACAACTCTTTTGAAATATGCCCCTAAGTGAGGTTCCAAATCCCCCACCATCTCCTACCAGTGTATACGCTCTAAAAAGTACACGTGAAACATAAGCCAGTAAATAATGCTGTTTTATTATGTAATACGTATAATGAATCAACTGAAAGAGAATTAAAGTTTACCAGAGTGTCTAAGTTTTACTCGTATCCTTGATAACGACGTTCTGTGTTACTTTTTTAATGAAGTATAGTTCCTGCGTAGGGTGAGACCTACTAAGTCACAGTGGCGCAAATGCATTCTTTCTTTGATTACATCTCTCCTCTCACACAACTTTGTCGACATTGATATCTTTCCTGTCAATTTGTTCTTTGTATACTACTATGAGGTGTGGCAACTTGAACCAATGCACCTCGACATCCAAACTGACAAAGCATCTGAATGTTTGCTCGAATGCTCTTTACTTGCAATGAAAAAAATAGTGAAATGTATCTTTGGAGCTTACAATCACTCAATGAAGCTCTTGTTTAACTCTTATTTCCTAACCTTGTCAACGTCACTGCTCTCATCTAACTTACTTTAATGCCATCGTACAATTCGGTATCAGGCCGAAAAGACACTGAATTAGGAATCAGAAGTGCACAATTTTTGTCACAGTAACTTTTAAATATTGAGTTATGTTTCATTTGAATTATTGCAGTCATCTGCATTAACCTATAGGAAGAATGAGGATGAATGTACAAGGCATAGAATTATCTCTTACCAAGGTAACCAACAGTAAACCACGGATCAGAGCGGCATAACTGTCCCATGATGACATCCCTTCATTTGCCATAAAGTGAATACTAGAAACCTAACCAGTAAAATTAACGTGTATTAACAATAGAACTCATCAAACGTCTCTCAAAAATACACTAGGTGGTAATTTGGAAGACTTCTAATGATTCTTATAAGTTATTCTGTTAGTGATATCTATACATTTAAAAACGTTTGAAATTCATGGAGTAAGTTGCTCCCAACATTCCTGCTTTAAACCATAGGCATTCTCCACCATATCCCCAAGATTATTTACCCAACGAAAAATTTCACTACAAAACTTTCTGAACAAGAACACATCCATACTTTTTCGTGAATGCTCGAGCCGGGCTGCAATATAGAGTAATAGTAAGTCACCGTCGTCGACAATGATGAACAATGGATTTCAAGCACAACTCTTGCATGAAATTCAAGAAAAGTTATGTTTGATTCCCTTATCTGATTCTTAGATAATCGAAACCGAAAGACATTTGTTTACTTGACAAATCTGTAACAGTAATTTTGATAATGGATTGGGCATACACTGAGAAGGCCGACTGGGGACATCACGCATCAGGCCCTTGAGTGGAACCACGATGGGAAGCGACGAGTTGGGCGCTAATGTCGAGGGTGACACGGAGGAGATAGTGCGAGGAGGAAATGAGAGCTTGTGGGCTGTCGTGGAGCCAGGTTCAAAAGATTTCACAGAACATAGCGCACTGGAGACGTGCCACTGAGGCCCTATGTTCCATTAGGAACCCAAGGGACAAATAATAATTCTGATAATGTTTGGTGTAGATCTTAATGAGCTATCGAAAACAAAAGTTGTTTTTTATAACAGAAAAGTACTGAGAAGTTATTCATGAACTCGTTTTAAACCACAATCTTAATTGAGTACCACTATTCCAAACTACGTATCGCTTGACTTATCTTTCTTAAATAAAAAAGAGCGATCTTTACTTTCGACAAATGCCGTCAGTGTTATCCCCTACAAAAGTGTTGGTAAGTTACTCGGAAAACCCTTGACAGTAAACCCTTCCAGTTATTTACTAATAATACTTCAGATGTTGATTTTTCAACAAGATGGATTTGCGACACATAAACTCCTTTTATGAAACATGTAGTTAAGTAGTCTAACAGAAACCTTGCTAGGTAATATCATTATATAATTCAATTCAACAACACAGGTTTAGGCTAGACAATGAGTCTCACTACTTAGTGGCATCTAATTCTAACTGGCTAACAAAACCTTGGCACATGATCCTAGATTTGAAATAGTGACTTACTGACTGAAAGTAAAATGTCTTGTTCTGTTAGTCACTAACTAACCGGGTTGCCGATTCACGAATACACATGTTCCGTACATCTTACAAAAATTTCAAATACACGAAATCAAACTCCTGCAATATTCACGCTTCAAAAGCGAAATTTCACCCAAATAATAATTGGGTTAACACTTCATAGGTACCCTGACTGAAACTACGACATTTTAGCATCAAAAAAGGATATTTGGTGCGAATACAGCCGATTTACGAAGTTCTGCAACTTGACACAGCAAACTAGACGTACTTTTAGACTGACTGTATGAAACAATTAATTTCTTTACTTTTTTCATCTTTCAGTTCCCCGAGCATTTGTCTGCACCACTAAAAGAACCCTCAAAAACGTAAACAAAAGTACAGAAGGAACCATCGGGATATATTCGGGAAAGTACTGAAAAAGACATTATTTACTCAAAGAAAGGTTCTAGTTCATATACCACAATGCGACCAAACAGATCTGAAGACTTGTTAAAAACGAAACGATAGCTTGAACATCCTTTAAGTAGTGGGATGTCAAATGTTTGAACTGAATTATTATCTTCAGGAAAAACTAAACACTCACACTTGCTCTGTTCATCGTCACTCCACCCTTCGATTTTAACTTCAGGACTTGAAAATCCTCCTTGAAACTGTATTTTCAGTGAAGTCAGGCGACGAATGTTATCCAGAACCAAGAGAATCCACTGCGGACTGCCGCAATCCGAATGCCAACAAGTTTCAGGAAGTTTGTCAAATAAGTGAGCCTTTCCAAACTCTTTGAAATTTTTCTGAAGTGTTGAACTAACTGTAAAATCCTTTACTCCATCTAACATCGCAAAACAACGCAAAGAACTCCAGATACAGATCAAAACGCTATCAAAAACCATGCAGTTTGAAGCTAATCATAGATACGAATAATGATTTAAATGTTCCCTCGAAAATCACAACTCGGTGCAGGTAGTATTGATGAGAAACAACAAGCAAGCTGAAATACTCATATAATCGACAATGAGCGCGACTGTATACTGTGATTGGCCTACCAAGAAAGAGCCAAATTCGTTCTGCTCACCTATTGAGCAATTGAAACCTTTGTAGCGTCACACACTTCCCCAAAATCAATAGCCTAGGGTTTGACGAATTTCGACATCGATGCTGACCTTGATAGTTTAACTGGACTCGATAAGCTGAGGGCACCCGGTCAAGCATCCTCATCATTTGGCAAGCTGTTGTGTTACGTTGCACTGCTCGTATTCGACTCTCTAGCCAGTTAGTTGGAACGCACTGGTATCGTGGCACAACCATCTAAATATACTATTCCATCCGACTACACTATCGTGTTCTTCCTTGTTCATGTATTCATGGGTATATAACAAGTCCGAATAATTAGTGATTGGTCTTTGCGTCTGTCAAGTTCGCACCAGGACAAATCTTAAATTGGTGAGCCCGATGTGATCACATATCCCGACCAATAACAAATATTGAATTGGCGAGCCTGTTCCGTATTATATTTGTATATTATTTTCATTTCGATAACATTTATATATCCATTCACTACACTTTCTCATGTCCGACCACACTCCCAAGCTTATTCGTGTTAAGCCGACTACGAACACGACCCAACTCGTGCCATATTGGACAGACAATGCAGAAACATGGTTTCTGTATGCCGAGGCCGATTTTCGAGAACAGGGAGTAGCAGATCCTCATTCTTGATTTCTTGCCATCATGCGTTCACCATCGCGGGAATTAAATAGACATGTTACGCACACATGTTCAATCCTGAAGTAAGTGATCCTTATGCACTCCTCAAGGCCGCACTCTTGAAGAAAAGCTATCTGACAGATCGCCAGCGCCTAGACGAATTGTTTCGTAACATCGAGCTAGGCAGCCACTCAGCTACTGAAGTCCTAACATGCATGCGAGAAGTTATGGGTGCACGAACATTTGACGATGGCCCCTTCCGAGAACTATTTCTCTCGAAACTACCACAACCGGTGCGAACCGTGTTGGTGACACTGCAGTCAGTCCCACTCGATGACCTGGCAGCCTCGGTAGATAAAATACTGGAGATTTCCAGCAGACCCGTCTCCAACGTATATTCCGTCCGCGGCGAAACCAGATCGCCAGGATTCAGAGGTGACCAAGCTGTGCAACTCTGTTAAACAGTTGCCGCGATCTCGAAGTCTTAGTTCACGTAGAACACCACAGAAACGCATCTTAGCTCATCGCAGCAACTCTTGTGGTTGCCCCAAAACTCAACTTAACAGGGTTGGAAACCCTGAATGGTGCTGGTTTCATAATGCTTGCAAAGACGAAGCCAGAAAATGTCAGAAACCAAGGACACAAACTCGGGAAACGGTTATGCCGGCACGTGATCACGGCAACCGTAGCCGGCGGAAACGGCCGTTTGCTCTACGTCACGGATATAAAGACAAAAGTTCGCTATCTCGTCGAAAGCGGCGCAGAAGTTAGTGTTCTTCCCCCACCAACGAAGGAGCGTCATCATGACCCATCCTTCAGTCTCCAAGCAGCCAACGGCAAGGCAGTCGTGACGTTTGGGAGATGGTATGCCTACCTCAACTTGGATTTACGTTAACCTATCCACTGGATTTTCCTCCTGGCTGACGTCTCTATGCCCATCGTTGGCATAGATTTGCTAAACCACTACGATCTTCTCGTAGATGCTCGCCGTCGACGACTGATAGATAACAACACAAAGCTATCTATTGGCGGCAGCACCTATGTAGGTCCGAGTTTAGCCATTGTTAGAACCAAACAATCAGGCGACGCGCCCTACCAAGCAGTTTTGGAGAAATATCCAGAGTTGCGACAACCGAAGCACACTCTTCCGTGCATAACCAGCAATGTTATGCACCACGTCACAACCACAGGTCTACCTGTGGCACCTAAAGCGAGCCGTCTAGCCGCCACGATTGGCGTCCAGCCGATGATTACCGAAGGCTGAACGCAAGAACAACCCCGGCGGATAGTCGAATTATCGAAATTCTTGATGATGTGCCTGGTAAGGCACAGTTACAACAAACATCGGCGCAACAGAGAGCACGATTATGTCGATTGGTCATGTCCCCTGAATATTTGAATTCGTATTCAACTTATAAGATGTGCCAACCGTATTTTTTCATTTCAAAATTTTTCGAGGCACCATTTTTCTTATTTACACAGAAGACCACAAAGTGGTTTTCTGTTGCCTACCCGTCCTCCATCTTTGTGGGGAAACAAGGAGCCCACGAGAAATATCTTGTATCGTAGCTTCAAAACTATAGGACGTAAGGTATTCGTCTGGCTCCTCAGCTGCTCATGATATGCTCTTTAATGAGCTAAGGTCGACTGGTATTCGTAACCCCCTACGTAGCCGGGTAAAACCACCTCTCAGGGATCGTACTCAAATCGTGGATGTTAACTCCATGCAATTTGAACCTAAACGCGTAACTAGTGGAGTTACGCAGGGTAGTGCCTTTCGGCTTTTGTTGTTGATAACTTATATCAACAGTGTGTGTAACTGCTCTAGTGAGGGCAAAGCATTCCCTTACGCCGATAAATTGAAGGTTTTATGCACCCGTCACTCTCATGAACTGTGCAATACTCTGGATACTGCCCGACAGGGGCTGTGTAAACTTGCACTTCCCGCCTTGAATTCGATAAAGACAAATGTCCTTGGCTTAGCATGGGCAAAGATAACCCTGACCTCGAGGTATGTAGGAAACAGCTACCTAGACGGTCTGCTGTGTTAGATCTTGGCATCAGGTATTCCAGAGACTTGACGTTCTTGGAACAAATAGCTTATATCAAATCTAAGTCACTTGTCCAACCTGTGAATTTTCTGCACACTTATTCTGCTGGGATGTTTCATTATACGAACACACAGCACCTATATCTCCCAGTGACAACGAGTAGGGGTTCCTATTACCTTCCGTGAAGATGAGTGCAATTTGTGTGTAAGCTTATTCATACCTGTAAAAATGGCGTGTGCCTGTATATTCAGGGATAATAATAATTATTATTAAACTCTTGGGACGCATTATTCCTATTTTTTAAGGTACTGAATCAGGGTCTCTACTCTATAAGGTATGCATTCACCCACTTTTACAATGTTGGTCATTTTTTCTCGGTGGCCTTCGTATAAGCGACAAACTGAAAGTTGAAGGGGCACGACATTAATTAACCTTCAGAACATTTTGGCTCTGGTCCCAGTCAGGGCTATACACCCAGATGTAGCATGCTCGGGTTAGAACCGGTCTGGAAAAGGTGACCTAAAATGAACCTCATGTTTTATTGTGAGTCACTTCGTCAACACCCACACTCATGGCCCCTGACGCAGGCTAAGTATAACGTCTACGTTTGATATGCGTAACCACAAAGTATTCGCTGGAACTAAGCATTGTACGACCAGCCTGCGCGGTGATTACTTCCTCACTTTCCATTTGGATGATTAACCATTTCAACGTCTATTTCTATCCACTACAGCAAATATTCCTGATGGCACCCATCTATATCACTTCTAAGCATAACATGGTGAACTGGAAATGCGTTGATTTAGACATATCCTGGCTGTATAAGTGTGGATACTTTGCTGATACTCCAGATCATATGCATGAATCCTTTGTGGTTAGCAAAACTAAAAACTGAAGAACTTTACAATGGGTAGACGGTCATGTTACTAAATAACAAGCTACGCAAATGGACTAACAATATCGGTTGTTGATAACGCAAATTTCGAACATTGCACGCTTTCGTTCCCCACAGCGGAACCTATCTGTGTGATGGGGAACGAAAATTCATGTTTGTCTCATGAATTGCAGCAAGTTTTAACAAGACTGCGCACATCATTGCCCTGACATGTGGATTATTTAATACTGAGTGCTGTTTTGCAAACTTTCAAGAATTATCAATTTGACGATGCTTGTAAGCTGGTGTCTCTCACGTTAAATCCATTGCATGAGAATAAGGATTACTATCTAAACTTTAACGCTGTATAAGCTGAAAAATGATATTTTCTTGTTTGCTACCTAACTAGTATGTCTTCTTATGTTTTCGACAGAGTTTGATGACATATCCTTGTGGCATTCAGGACCCGTGAAATGTAGATTTTTCGATACATATCAGTTTGATGGCGCCCGTAAATTCGTAACGTGAGAACAAAACATTCACCTACCTATTGAGGAGAGCGAATGTCAGTGACAAACTTATTGTCAAGGTGTGGGACAGACAGACTACCTAAGACCGAAAAACGGGCATCCACCACTCAGGGAGTTTGAGTTCTTGAACCACAAAAAAATCCTAATTGCTGCAGCATAAGAGTCCGCAACGACAGGTTGATCCATCAGACGAAACTGGGGAGAAGGTTGCAAAGCAACCTCAAAAATCTACACTGCTTCGTGTCAAAAAGGAAGACAAATGCCAAAGGAGTAAATCTTTTTACATTCTCTGATGGAGATGTACCAAATGGTTCAGAGATAGCTGGACTCTCGAGCTCATACTTCTGAGCTCAACTTAGTACTGACATTAAATCTGCACCTATTCCATGCAACACTGGTCAAACTAAGAACAAAGAATAACCCTCCCGGATCCTAATCAGAAAGGGGAATGTATCAGAGAAACTATCTGGGCCCCGTTCAGGCAAGTCCCTGGGTATGATAACCTGAGATCGGTTTTGCTAATAAACTGCACCGAGTTACTTGCAAAACCAGTCTGTTTAAGCACTCACTAGAGTCATGCAAACTCCTTAAAGAATGGAAGTATCTGGTCTTACTGCTCTTTTTCGTGTGCGAAGACAGAAAAAGTCTCGGCAGCCACAGACCGATCGCCCTCTCCTCCACCGTGTCCAACGCATTAGAAAACTTGACATACGACGAGATCTGGGAATGCCCTAGCAGAGTGAACACCATCCGTACTGCTCAGCATGGCTTTGAAAGTGGTCATTCGTGTACCACGAAGCTGCTGACTGCCTGGGACGACTGGACGTCAAGCTGGGACAACAGAAAGCCGGTACTCGTACTAGCTGAGGCACCTGACAGTGTTCTGCCCGTGGTCCTGCTTCACAAGATCATGGCGGTCGGTATAAGTGAGCCTTTACCTTCTTTTTCTGAGGCGTACCTAGAAGATAAGCGGTTCTGCACTAAGGTAAACAGAATAGGGTTGGAGTGAAGACCATCGACGTCAGGGGCATTTCACGGAACAATCCCGAGACCACTTTTGTTCCTCCTGTTTGTCAGCAATCTGCCACACAAAATCTCTTTACTCATCCCCCTCTTTGCCGATTACACCAAAATCTGGACGATATTAACCAAAGAGGACGACTGTACATCACTATAGAGTGTCCTAGGACCACTTAGACCCTGATTATCTGAAAACGGCGTGAGTTCCAGCCTGGAAAAGTGCCTATGAGACGAGGACGGCCGAATTCAAATACGTGTTGAGTAGCTGTAACTGTTTTGTCACCAGCTCCAGCTACAAAGAAGAAGCAGCCGTAGCTAGCGCCACTTAGTATTTCCTGAGTAGATAGCCTGGTGCTGTCACTCCCGAACTGTTTCTAGCAGTTCTCAAATACTACGTACCGCTGCACTTAGAGGTCTTCATTATGGTGGCACCCCGAACAATGATGAGACGTTCATGTTCCGTTGAAAAAAATACGAAGATCTGCAACAAGGACATTTGTGAGAATAAAGCGAAAGATATACTCTGAAAGACTAGAACACCTAGACCTATTCACCTCACGTTGAGTATGTGTCCTATGGAGTACCTTATCACTGGAGTTGGCCGCAGTTTTCTGGTAGGTTCCTTCAGAAGACTGCTGGACAGTCACGTCATTCCTCATGGTTTACCACGGACGTACTCATGAAATTATTAATCTCACTAGCCCACCACTACTTCCTTTCTACTTACCACTCAACTTTCTCGTCGATAGACATTATCCACTAACTCTTTCTACACCATCTACTTTCGCCTTTCATGCAATTCCAGTACACCTTTCCCCACTATCCGCCGTCCATATTTATGTGTCTACACAGACAAGAGTCACGACAGACCCCTAATCTTGACAGCAACCAGTAGCTCCATAACCACTCTAAAAATTCCAGTTACTAACCCACAAATATACTCACCTCACCAAAACTAAAGGTGGGAAAGCAGAACGGACCCGTTTTTACACTGCAGGACCGAACCGAACACCGAGGAAAAGCCCCAAGATTGAGGCGCGAGAGATCAAAAGCTATCAGTTTTCTACGCTCACACCATCGATGTTGAAACCCTTACTTTTCCTGCTTTATTTATTGATGAAAAGGTTAGCAGCGAAAAAAGCCCGCGGATCACTGACTCACAAAATGGAAACTAGGTAAATGAAACCTTTCTCTGTTCCGTTGCAAACCATAAAAGGGCCTTAGATATTGAACCTGTCCTTGAGGCGTGAAGCGGGTAGTTTGGTGTTGGTGCGATGCAGTTTGTGAGATGCATTTTGAACTAGGCTTGTAGTAGCTGTGCAACTAAATTCAGCTTGTTTGGGGATCTAAATGACGACCGTTATTTCAAGACATACATCCACTATTTCCCTCGTATCCCAAAATTCGGTACAGTTTGAAGCTGGACTGTTAGTACAATGTTTGAACCGCTACAAGGAACATCTTGAAAACGGTTGTGAGAAAGTTTTAGAATCTAAATTTTCAAAGAAAGGACCGGGTAAGATATTTGATTTTAGTGTGATAAGGTTGCCTTATGCTTTTTGTCGCTTATGTGCTTTACTTTGCACTCCATTGTTTTCGAGCTCCTTACAACTACTGAAGATTTCTGTTTATATTTAAATATTCAAATTCGTAAGGAGTTGAAATGGACATGCATGTACCATTTTTGAACATCTGACTGGGTTCATTTGTCGAATGGCTTCGTCTACTTATGATATATTTTCATGTAGTTGAGTAAATGAATTAGAAGTTACTCTTAGGCCAATATAAAATGAAAACATCCACACAACAGCTGGTCGTCAAAATATGTTCCTAATTACGGCAGCATATGCTGTTAAGTTCCTCTACCAACCCAGTTTGAAGACTCGTAAGCTTCTTATAAACATGGTTCCTGACGATTCAAGTTTTTAAACTTAACATTAGCATAGCATGTGAAAAACACACCACCGGACGTATTAAAATGTAGCAAGGCTTGTACATTTCAGGCTGGAAATTATTCAGAGTTCGTCTAGCATTTCATGCATATTTGATTGATTCTCAAACATGCACCTGTGGGTTTAGAAGTGGCACAAGTGAAGCGTCATATCACGAAGAATTTGACTGTTGGAGGTGAAATGGCTTTGCTAATTATAACCAGTAGCTCTGCTAGGGTCCCAGAAGTACTCTTGTATGTGGGGATGATGTTGTCTTAACTACTTAAACTCCCAAACTACGGTTCCCACCAGGTTAAGAACATTTCTGTCATAAGAAATCTTATTGTGCCACACATATCAGTGTTACTTAAGTTTTTCTCCCTGTAACGTTTAGGTTGGTCTTTAGTTCGACAATTTCCTACTGTAACTGTGTTTTGAAGATTGAATATCGAGGTTTAAGTGTTTTTCATTGCAGTCTTGTTATTTCATGTGTGGGGATTTTTCTGGCTGCACATGTTATATTTATTAGCGGCTCTAATGAGTGAATAGTTAACAGATCTGAATTCACGCAGGTTACTATCTACAGTCATTGTTTTCGGACACTGAGCAATCTCTTCACTGAGGTTTTTCTTATTGGATATGTTCCGGAAGAAAAAAAGGAGGCAGTGCTGATAAACCCTGCTTTCGCGGCCAGATGCAAAATTAGAGTGTCGCTTATCCAATACTCGTGGAGAAAATATGTTAAATCAGAGATTATTCGTCAACTCAACACTCACTTCAATTTCTTAATCTTGCATTTATTATTGTTTTCTTAATTGTTGTTACCCAAATAATTTGATTTTTATGATTATTTCTATGGTAAATAACGTAAAGCAGCTGGTTTTGTTGGAATTCTGCAGGCTAAAAATCCCCAACTTTATCGGGAGTATTGGTTGAAATAGTAATTACTAAGACCATTTGTTTTTCTTTGTACCTAAGGTAACTGTGCATGTAGTCTGCCAAAATGTTAAATCATTTGAATCTTAACAATTTTCACACAAGCATTTCATAGGGAAAATATGTTAGACTAAATGGTCATTGTTACATTCACGTTTATCGTGGTCAAGTAATTCAAAATAACACGAACGTCAAGTCAAAACCGATGCTCTTAGAGGCGTATTGAGTTCGTAAGTATGAGAAAAGACAACACGGTCTTTAATAATATTCTCCACAATTAATAATAACATGGACGATGTTCGGCTGGTTATAGTTTTCGATATCAGTCAGTACAACCTCCGAAAACTTATTTTATTTACCATAAGGTGTATATGTTTATGTGGCCACGGAGTAATTTAGGAGCCTTAAAGAAAGGAAAAGTCTCCTGTCTCATTGATCTGTAAAATTGTCATAGTTAAAGGCCATCAACTTTTTGTGCACATGTCAACTGTGTCGGACAGACAAAATCAATGTGGAACCTCGCACACATCTGTTTCAGTTCAAGTTGCCACGCTTTACAGCAGTGTGGGAGAAGCAGGTGGGTAGGAAAGTTATGTTTAAGTAAACAAAAGTTTATGAGAAGAGGAAAAACTTGAAAATCAAGAATGGTGAAAATGTTCAAGCACTAGAAGACATCAAAGAGTGAATCCATCTACGCAACTGTAACCAATTTTCAGTCATTACATAAATTGTCCCAGGCCATTTGTTCCTGTGGTCTGGAGGATTCCAGTCAGGTGGTCTACACTTATCCACACGACTCAGACCAAGAGTCAGGGACTCAATGAATCGATTCCAAGTTTTGGGTGTGACCATCCTAAGTCCTTTTCCAACTTAATCCAAATCCAACTAACAGTACACATCAGAGTAGAAGTTGGTTTGGTATACGCAACATATGTCCTAGCCACCCTTGTCGATGAAGGTTCACAACCTGATCGAATGACTTACCTATCTTACCTAGTACGTATCGCCTAACCTGAGAATCGCTCACACGATGATTGCATCATACGCTGAGAAGCGTTTAATAATAGCATAAAGACTTCAGTCGTTATTTCTCTGTAGTTGTGACCCTTATTCCTGTTAATGAGAAAAAGAATGCCTTGACAGTACTTGGACCGTTCTTTATCATCCTTACCGTGTTGAAATATACATATGTGAGAACAGATTCTTTCTATATTATCGTAGGTTGATTAATGTTGCACATTGGATAGTCAATGCTTTTTATCTGTTATCAGTGATCGTATGAAGTGTACACTAGCTCCGCATTGCTAAGATACAACATTCAGTGGATCTGGGTTTCATTAGTTCATTTGACTCCCAACCAGTGCCACGGGTTCAAGTCCTACTTCTCCCACCAAGGGTTACACAACCAAATGACAATAAACTTCTACATGATAGGTGTAGCACAGGTTAAGGAACTATTTTGCACGTGGTTGGTGTTACACTCTTGCAGACCTACATCATATAAAGGCATGGTCCGATTGAATTGGTCTGGCCACAAATACTTTATCAATTGGCTATTTATAGGAACATTATTACATTATCAAGATGCCCTGTGGTAAGTAAATTGGTGTGCGCAAAAAAGTATCTATCTCGGTCAGTGTAGTCTCACATCCTCCCTACCTTTCTTGTGTTCAGTATGTTGGTTCCATAGCATGCAAGTTTTACTTCTAAGCTGCTTGTGATAATTTTCGGTTGTTTTTCTTCGGTGAGTTGATGAGTTGTATTAGGACAATGCTATACGAATTAGTCTGTGGATATCTTGTTGACGTCACAAGTGGTATTGGTAGATAAACATTCCCTGGAACTTTTATATACATTCCTGTATTTTGTTAACTACTATTCCGTCATATATGAATGTCTGTAATTGTGTGTTTTTCATCTGTTTTGTAATCCTTTCAATCCTAAAACGTTTTTTTAATAGGTTCGACGTTCTTGAATAACACATCATCATTTAATGATGACAGCGTTGCGATTGACTCAGCCTTAACAAATAATACTTCAGGTGTAGTAGGTCTAGAAAGTGTCACTTCTGTTGTTCGAAGGCTCGATGCTGGAGCACGCGAGAGTTTGGGCCAACATCTAATCCAGTTATTAGCTACCATCGTTTTACCAGATCCTCCTCAGTCTATAAGTGAAGTAGACACACGTTTGGTAGATGGTCTACCGGGTATTCCAGATAAACTAATGCCCACGGATAGCGATATGGACAATTATCGGATTCTAGCAGAAAAAGGACGAAAGAAAATACTAAATTTACCATTTGACAAAATATTTACTGCCTTAAAAGTAAGTCTGCTTATATCCAATTCTTTTCAGGCAACTATCCTGTTTTTCGCTTACACCATGTTTATTTTGAAAATTTAGCGATATTAAAACACACAGTTGAATAAGTTTAAAACTCTACAGAGAGACATTCAATAAGAATAAGAAAGCAGTTTTAAAAGTCAACCACCTTCAGACAAATCTGTTATAAAATCCAGTTTATACTAAATAATAGGTAATCAAGGATAAAGATGCAAAATTCGAAGCAATTATGTATCACTCCTCTTTACCTCTGTTTTTGAATAACATAGTAAGGAAGAAAACAAAATCCGTAAACTTCGATGGTGTTATTCAGTGTGGTCATAAAATATCACGAAAAGGACAAGTTATGGTGCATTAGACACTAAACGAGCATTAGTCATTTGAAGAAAAAAACAGCAGATGTTACAGCACTGATATATATATTTTGAACCGTATGACAATGTTTGAAACCGATAATTTTGTTCACAAACCTCTGAACATCGATGCGAAATTCAGAGTGTCGTGTTACTACCACCCTTAGCTGCACTCGACTGCTTCTGGACCATCAAGTGTGTATCTATGCTAGCATATCAGGTCTAGGCGTACATTGATTTAGCATGCATCACAGTGTCTTAGCTGTTTGATTTGACCCAGATATACAACAATCACATAAACTCAACATTGTTAATTCACTGAATCTATCAACCATCAGTTTTGTCCTAGCTTTTTTTACGTCTCAAGGTGTCAAAAAACGAAAGCGATTTCTATGCCTTCAAGACACTATGAGCAGTTTAAAACAAAACAAAAAGATTATTAATTTCGTTCCATTACCTATTTGAAGTTCAGTCTTTTGACTGTCTATTGTAAGAGAATAGATCATTTCATCAGAATAATTGTCACTTTTCTTTTGCTACTGTATGTACACTTAAAGTTACGCGTGTTCTTCAACCATTTGGTTCATATTTGTACATAGTTTACCACGAAAGCACGCCTCTAAATGCTGGTATACTGCCATTATCTGATTATCGATAATAATCTCACACGTTCGCAAGCACTAACTATGCATATGTGTTCTGCATTATATTTTGAAATTTTTGTGTGTGAAATCGTGTGATTATTTAAACCCTGGATAAATTAGATAATAAGAGGCGCGAAATCCATTGAAATACTTGTATTACATTGTCAGTACATTAAGTTGAAATAAGCGGATGAATAAATGAGTTTTTACAACTACATCAGTTAACCTAGTTTTATTGACTGTGAACTACGGTAATAAATTTTATCGACTATACTACCGTAATGTAGCCAGTTTTATGGTTTCGTTGTTGATATTTATCTTTTATAGTGCTATAGACGTAATGGTTTGATCTACATATGGCTTATTATGAACAGTTTTCAGTGATGAACATTAGGTTGGCTGTTTTAGGTTATGATGAAAGTTTTGTAAGTAACCGAAACTTTTGTCACTGTGTTAACACAAATTATATTAGACAACTTTTTCATCATAGGTTGATTGGAAGCGTAATTGTCGATTAATGGAATTTTGTTAACATATTTATTTTGAATTGCAAATAACTCAGTTTCCAAACTGAGAAGGATCATTAATACATGGTTATGGAAAGTTACAGAAAGAGTAATGCATACGTATATTATTAAATATATAGAGTTATGGCTTAACTGGTTTAATGTCAGTCAGTTGACCATAAGTTGTAACAGCTTTCCATCCACATGCATTAAACATTCAAATAACAGAATTGGTTATTAAATATGTCTATGAAAAGTTTGTACATTGTGGAATGGAATAATGTATTATAAGAAGGTTATCCAATCAGACCGATAGTGGACTTCAGAAATACCTCTACATATAAGCTATCAAGTTTCCTTATTCATATATTACAACCAATGGGAGACGATTCACAAACGATGTTGGTAGATTCATTGGATTTGGTGGAACGACTTAGAGACACTAAGAAATTTTAGTTAGTTTCGACATCAATAGCCTATACACAAAAATACCAATAGAAATGGCTATGAGTGCCCTAAAAAGGAGACTAGAAAAAGACGAAGGTCTTGGAAAAAGAACGCAGCTCTCGATGTAGGACACTAAGCGGAATAGAACTCTGCTTAACAACGACATTCTTCACATTTGATGGGAAGTGGTATCAACAAAAAGAAGGGGTACCGATGAGAATTTCTATCTCACCATTGATGGGGCATATATTTATAAGTTTTTGGGAAAACAAGGCTCTAAAACCATTCACATCTTCGATTAAAATTCGGTGAAGATTTGTTAATGATATTCTAGTTATAATGAATAAGAAGGATATCGAATGATTCCATTGAAATATAAACAGTCAGTTGGACTCAATAAAATTCACTATGGAAATAGACAATGAATCGGGGGAGCTGCCGATGTTCGACTGTAGAATCAAAAGAACAGTAGACGGCAGTTTAAAAATAACGCTATATAGAAAGTCAGCGCATCCTGGAAGGTTTCTGAACTACCACTCAGTCCACCCAACCACAGTAAAACGAGGGTTAATACAGGGTCTGGCAAACAATATGTAGACTAACACCATGCTCTCATGACCAACGATAAAAAGATATGGATTTCTGATTCAAGATGTCATTAAAGAATCACTACCCAGAGCAATTCATAATCAAGAAGAAACAAAAGTCAGCAACGAGTCAATAAGAAAGATAACTACAGGAAGACAATGGTATCACCGTGCACTAAAGGTAATTCATGAGTAATTAGAAGAAAACTTAGAAGTGCATTTAAACCAATGAATCTGATAAAAAAAATAGCTGAACCAACTAAAAGATTCAATTAGAAAAGTGGACTAGAACAATGTGGTGTATGAAATACTGTGTGCAGACTATCCAGTAATCTATGTAGGACAAAAATCAAGATATTATCCGGTTGTGGCTAGCAGAGGAATCCAGGATGCGCGTAGTAAAAACGTCAAGATCGTTGAAACTGAATGAACATCAAAGATCAACCAAAGGTCAGCCCATAGAACGAAAAAAGTACAAAAAATAGCAGCTCATGCATGGGACGAAAAGCATAACGCTGATTTGAACAACACTACCATGGGAAAAGTTCAACAAAACAAATGGAAAGAAAGGTTAATAACAGAATCCATATTTATACCTGTCACCCCTAACACATGCAGCAAACGTGAATCAACACAACTATCAACCCTATGAAACATAGTATTGCACAAGCAGACTAACAAACAATAAGGAAAGACTATATATGTGACACCGTTTGATAAATGTGTGAAAAAAATCCTAATTGTTGGTGTGATCATGGGTAGTAGTTTTAATCGGAATATTACCAAAATGAAAACTGATCATTGTGTGTAAACTTTGCATTAAAAAGTGGTTATTTTTAAGGAGTGGATAGTCGAAATTCTTTCAGTAACTTGATATGACTTGATGATTTGAAATTTTAATTCTTGTGCAGCCTTACTATTGGAATTTAATCGCTAACCCTGTGAATAATCAGTTGTTTTGTTTGTATTGATCATTCTGCTAATAACTAGTGATTGTCTGATTAATGTTCATATCATCAATATAGGAATTCAGTGGACGTTTCAGTTTCAATGTATGCGTCTATATTGTTGCTATAGCTGAACATGTGATTGGAAATTTTTTACAGGTATGTGGAAAAAATAACATGCATTTCTATACATATTAATAATCACAATTTATCATGGGGTTTCACTGCAAAACGTACGGTTTTTACTGTTTGATATTTGTAATTTCCCGTTTCTGTACTGGGTCGAATTACTCGACCTCTATTGACAATTGGTGTCCTACGCGGATGCCTCGATATTGCCTGAATATTCATTATGTTGCAGTGTGCTTGATGGTTTATGATAAGGACTAGGATGTACGTTCCATCCTATATGGAACTCGTCAGCTGGATGTATTTGCACCCCAGTAGGTGGTCGAGCAATTCAACCCAGTATACCAACGAGAAATTACAAGTATCAAACAATATCTGATACACCTTTTCACAAGAGGCAGCTCTCGTGCCCTAGTAACCTAGTAGATAATGGTTTGTCGTTTGAAGCGATTAGTACTAAGTTCAAGTCTCAGTAGGAAGAACACACATGGGTACACATACATCCAGCTGATAGGTCCCAAATAGGATGGAACACGGGTGCTGGATTCCACTACTAGCCACCAAGCAGACTGTAATCTACACTTTCTAGTCGTTTTGTCTGAAATAAATGTGAAATGAAAATCTGGATTACTTTCAATCACACACCTTCATACAGTATCAATAACAACACTTTCTAGTCACGGCTATCTCAAATCGTCTCATTAACAATGAAATGAGTCTAATAAGTTTTTGAAGTCTTTCCATATCATTGAAACATGAGAAGGTATCTGTTTCATAATGTTACACGGCTTATCCGAGGAGCTATATCATTCAACTTATAATCCTATGTTTTGACTGTTTCTAATGTAGAAACTGTTTGTTTAATACAAAACTCTAAAAAGACCATAGATTCACCATATTGCTTCAAGTAGGTATTACTTAAATCTGTCGCTGAAATAAACACATATACATATTGGATTTTATCAGTTGTTTGACTTTTTTCCTCAAATAATATGCGTGCTGTGAATAAAGGGGATGCTCAGTATCCGATAGAAATAACTGTAGCTACTTGTCTGCTAGAATTTAAATGTGTCAACCACAGTATTAATCAGTTGAGTCGGAGGCACAGCATTCACCCTACTAACGGCTTTCAAAGCCCTACGCAATATAACATAGTCCTTTATGAGTAGACCAGAAAAGCTCAACAGAGAACAATAGAGAAGAATAGGTAAAGTGCATGAATTAATAAATTGTAAAAATAGAGGCTGAGTTATTCCACAAATTCTCAGCTTCCTTTAGTAGTACGTTAAACGAAAGATTTTCTTGGAATTCAACAGGATATGAGACGACCAACAAAGATCAGAAGTAAATCTTAATCTAAGATAGTTGATATTTGATTTACTTTCCGCAGAAATACTATCACTTCAACAGGAGTCATGGAACTTAAGCAGTTCACACAAGTCCTGTTTACGCCTGAGGCTAAAATTAACAGTTTGATACTCAGAAGGGTTTAGCTTGAGACCATTTGAGGGAGACCACTGGTTAATTATAGACAAGAAACCATTTGTTTCAGTGCAATCTAATAGAAAATTTACTGGCATAGAAACCATCGGGTCATCAACATACTTAATAAAATTAGTTTCGACAGAATAAGGTAAATAGTGTAAAAATAACGAGAACAGAAAAGGAGAAAGTACTGCACCTTGAGGCACACTAGCTTTAGTAAGCAATTAAGTGGAGCACATCCCTTTATAGACAATATGCTGTTTCCCTTCAGAAAAATAAGAATACAACCACTCTGTAACCCATATCTCACTATGAGCTATGGCAAGCTTATTTAAGAAGAGTGGTCTAGAAACAAAGTCAAAGGCTGATGAGTAATCCAAGAAGGGATAACGAGCATACTTAACACCTTCGTCTAGACGAAAAACAGTATTATGACGCAAGACAGTGACAGTATCTGTAATACTTCTCTGAAAGCCTTCAGTAAAAGTTCAAATACAAGCAAAAGTAATTTCATTATTGTCTTCAAAAGAGGGAAGTTATAGTGATGGATCGAAACGTAACATCTGATCCAGAAGATAATTTAGGCACAGATATCACTTCCATCTCCTTTCAAGTAGCGGATAGACAAACATGAATAACACAGGATCTGGCATAAGTGCATATCAGTACAAGTTGCCATACATCTCATCGTCACCAAGAACAATAAAAGAATCAATGAGAAACCGTTTATATGAAAAGTTGTGCACAGAATAAAGATATATATGGTAAAAATGTTTTCTTGATTCAGGTAAAAGTATGGTGTACATTCATCCATCCTACTGTGATTGATTCTGTACATTATCGCCTAAAATCTTCAACTAATGATTTTGGTTTTGCAACAAACCGTGACTAATAAACCTACACTAATCTGTCACTTGTTGTGCACAACTTAAGCCATTTAAGTCATGCGTGCCAATTCTGACGTGTAATGATAAGTGTCTGTCTTATACGTCTTGTTCACCTTTGATTTGTTACTATTGTTTGTATCGAATTCGTTTATATTTGTAAGTGATATAGGTTTCTTGAAACTGGTTACTGTGTTCATATATGGCATCAACACTTACATTAATTGTGACACCAAAATGACTATGTTTATTGTTTTTCCCCCTTCTGATTTAGGCCGCTATTTGCTATGAAGACAAAGCTCTAACTGAGAATGTCATTCGTGCATCTACTGTTGAGGTAATGCGTTAAATTGTTATAATGATAATATTTATTAATATTTTGCTCATAAAGATAGTTTTCATCGTTGGTTGACGCCAGCTAGGCCACCGCTGAAGACCCAGCAATGGACAAGTATTTTTTTTGTTCGACCTCGGTGTGTGTACCTACAAACTCAACAAAAATCCAAGTGTACTCGGCAGCCATATGCACGTTCGTTCAATAGACAGTGAGCCACACGTGCTGTATTAGATCTAATGCTACTGCTTGGCTATCCACACGTCGGTAGGCGAGGCAGGGTTCGGACCTGAGACCCAATGACTTAAAGTCAACTGCTTAAACCAGTGAGCCATAGCTCCATGTGCGAACCTACGTCTAAATGTAAGGCCTTCAAATTTTATCGTCCAGTCACTGGTGTGGTGTATGATACTTGTGATGTGACATCATTGGGGAAAGTGGTGAGAGTTAGTAGTTGGCTAGGGAGAGTTCTGGAGACAATAGTGGGAAATATTCGGAGGTAATATAGGGGACGAGAGTGGAGAGAGGAGAAACTGAATGAAAAGCCACCTGGAAGGAGTATACAGGTACTGTTTGCACGCATGGTATTGAAGAAGAGCTTGTAGTTATTCACTAATACTAACTGATTTCACTTAGCCTTTTTGTACTGTCTCATTTATCTTACTAGTGTTATTCTTCGTACAGGACTAGAATTTGAATGAATTCAACTAATTCTCAGTACAGACCATCTGTCACTGAATATTGTAGGTCGGCAACTGTCTTCACTTATTTTTAAACTGTATAAGGCGAAAATCATTAAAATTGGAATTTAATGCTGGAGTTGGCGTAGAATTTTAACGAGATTTTATTTCGTCTTCGTTTATCACCTCTCACAAATATATATATATATATATATATATATATATATATATATATATATATATATATATTCAATTTGATGTTGTCTAGTCCCAAGTGGTAACTTAATCATATCGGTCATTTTGCAATGTGTTCATCAAGTTAAGATACTGACTATCGCGGTCCACTTTGATTAATGTTGGGTCGTTGGAGGCAATCGGCAGGAAGGTCTTCAACTTAGGTTTGCTCATGAGTTGAAGCTCCCCTTTCCTTTTTATTAAAACATGTAAACTTATCGTTCATCAGTGCTAGTAAGCCAAGCAACCATCTAATAGTGCAATGAATCCTCTTCTATCTGTTCTGGGCTTAATGACTTGCCTGCTTCATCAGAAACTTTTATTGTGACTTAGTTTTAAGTATGATCTAATTGCTGCTTTAACCGTTTCCTGATTAACAGATCGGTGTTTAAATTTGATTTAGTTATTTTTTACTGTAAATGAGCGTTTGATCATTGATTAGATGATTATTGTAGATGCTCCTACTAGTGCACTAGAATGTAGAACAGTTATGTTGCAACATGCTGTCAAGAGCGTTTGCTTTAAGGCATTTCCTCACAAACATGACAATAACTGGTACATAAGGTTATGGTTAAGAGATCTACATACCCGACCAGTCCTAACGTCTAGGGGATGACACTTCATTTTTCTGCCAAAACACGACAACTATGTACTTTCCGTTGACGGATAGAGTGAGCAGTGCAGAAATTCTATTAATTTACCCTCCTTAATGTGTTTTACAGTCGTTTAGTGGAACGGTTTTCGCTACAAGAGTTTTAACAGAAATACGTACCATTTATCAGCACCGTAAAGTGGTATTTGTTTAGTGTCAACGTGTGATGCAACTTACTCTGGTACAGGTCTATGTACTAGGATATGAGCCACATCAACTGTGTAGAGGCTTATAATATAACCTTATCGCATATGCTGAATTAGTTGGAGCAGAATTTGAATTCTTTATCCATTGCTTGAAGTGGAATAAATAAACCAGTGAGTCACGATTAAGTCTTCGATATTCGAACTAGGATTTTCATAGCAAACAGCTCAGAAAATCTGTAGGAACTACGTACATGTGTCAGGTTATAGACATGTTAGTTGAAAGTGGGCACTGAAGTCGAAGACAATGGGACTGGTCATTTAAAGGTCTAAAATACCGAGTCTTATCAGTTTCATCGTATTAGTCCATGCGGTAAGGTATTATTACAGTGCATTTTAAAATTTACTCTTGAATGGTTTTTGTGTTTATATTTTAAAGTATGTCTCTTGTGTGCTCATAATTCCCCACAGTGTAAGAGAGATAATTTAATCATATTCAGCATAAATTCCGACGGTTTTGTCAGTTTTCGACTTTTAATATTTTCTGTAATTTGTTTTTAAATTCTTATCTTTAATTTAGACATTATTCATCTTGTATCGGGATCGTGTTAAGCCTCGTCGTCTAGTGACTGCTAATCTTTTCCCTCAGGACTATGACAAGTAAGTCTACTCTCATGCATTTGAGAGGATTTTTCATATGTAACTGCTTCGTTTGTTTATAATGAGTTTTTTAGTCATGCTTAATTCAGCAACTGTATGCAAGTTGTCTTATACAGGGCGGTAGGCGAGGTTTGTTATGTAGAGATTGTTGAAACTACTTGACTGTTCCGGCTTTAGCAGGAGGAGCGGGGTTTAAACCCGTAGCTTAGTGGCTGAAAGTTGAATACGTGGTTCAATGAAGGTATAAGTACGTTAATCGTTAAACTAATAGGCATACTGTTTCACCATATCCACTGTACACCATTGGAATTCATAGCTTGATCGTGACTACAGTTGTACCTAAAGATACCTGCCAACACGCAAACTATAGAATATTCCAGGCTAGTTTAATAAGAGTAAGAGAATGTGGATTAGCAATAACAATAACAGTAATGTTAATAATAATAGTAGTGACAATAATCTCTCTATTCCAAACAAAATGTATGGTACAGTATGGAGTTTTCAGCATGGGATATTTCAACAAATTCGCTTTCCGTACAATATTTTTAAATAATTTAAATATTCCCATTGTGATAATTAGGAGACAGAGTTTGAAGCTTCAAACTCTGTCATCTAAATATTTTTAAAAGAAATAATTATTACATCTTCATAGTGTTGATAATAACAGTATTGAAGGTATAAGTGTGAAACGGGCAGCTGGTGTTACATTAGCATCTGTTCTCGGTTCAGAAATTAACACAAAATCGTGCAAGAGTATGTGATGCGTTCAGAAGACATTTAAAAGATTAAAACAAACGGAAAGGGAAGAATTTGATTTAATATAGTCGGTGGGAAATTTTTTGGTAGCCCAGGATTTAAGCCAGTCGCTTTGAATTCCAATTGTTTAGCCGATCCAAACAATGATTTTTACGGTTCCTCAAATAATTCGCTCGGATGTTCCGCTTTTTCTTCGTCTTAAACCTCCAAAATTTTTGAAAGCCTTGGTTATTCATAAACTTAAGTCTGATGTTTGTATACAAAAGAAGTGTTTACAGTCTTTGGGTTTACTTGGATCTTAAATTCATTTTGTCTCATCTTGTTTCTTCAACCTTCCTCCTTTGTAAGATAAGTTTTTGCACTCTTTTGTCATCATTATGATTTTAGCATTTAGTATTTCCAGATGTTACTCCACTTAATCTTTTCAATCATTACAACTTTTATTACTTTTAGTCTGCCTCATTCATATCATCTAAATATTTCTTTGCGTATTAGCTGTGCCATGGTTTACCACGTTTGTAAGCTATATTTACCCTATGAACTATCTACAAATCTTCTAACTCTGTTTTGTGTTCGCCGCGATACCTGAAGGTCCTGTGTTCGGTCCTTGGTAGGATCATTGGTGCTCACTGCTAGGGAGTCCCATATTAGGATGAAACAGATATCCAGTTCTTTCAGGTTTCTAATGGTTCTCCAACTGATATCAGTCGGTGATGAATATCAACCTGAACTCATTATCAGTACGAAAATGTGAATACAGTCAAAAATGACTAAAATAATTTAGGAATAACATATTCAAGCATTTATTCAGAAATTCATAGATAATGGTGTATTGATCAACCATTCTGTTAGAAAAAATTGATTAGTTTCGTTTTACCTTTAGTGTATTGGAAATTAAAATGCCTTGACAACGCATACTGAATGCATTCAAAATCATCATGGCGACTTGAATGAATATTGGGCTACCAAAATTTTCCATCGAATACATGTATCAAATTTTTCTCGTTAACTCTTTTTTTTTAATCATTTAAATATGTCCTGTCAACGTATTATGTACTCCTGGACATTTTTAAAATGTTTTCAACTCGTAGTTTTTCGAGTTAGAATAGCAAAACAGAGGAAAAAACATCTCGTTAAACGGAAGTGGAAAGATACATTATATTTCCATTCCTCGGATGCTTAGCTTAAGTTGCAGAATAAATAGCCATCACCAAACTTACACTCAAGTTTCTGTTGATCCTTCATTGTAGACCGGATGCTAATCCAACTGGCTGTTTCACACTATTGCTTTGAATACTGATATTAATGTTGTCATTCAGATGGAATAACCATTTTATCTGAAAATATTATTGTAGGAGTGACTCTGTTGAAAAATTACATGGTGAGAATTCCAAACTGTATCACATATATTGTTTGGAATAAAGCAATTGTCATTATTACTATTCTACCATACAGTCTGTTGGGAATCATATATGACTGGTCATTTCTTGTACACTCTATACTATTGGCTGCGTCAATATTCACTTTATATAGTCACCGGTCGTTAGACTTTGACTCGTACATAATTGTATCTCTATGATTAAAATTGTAGTCATTCCCATCATGTTGACATATGAAATCTTCTTCAAAGTTTCCATGAAGCTATAAATGTTTACCGACCGAGGTGGTGTATCGACCAAATATTCACACTGCGCCAGGTTTTGGAACACCGACACGCTTACCGACGCCCGACAATTGCTGTATTTCTCGACCTGAAAATGGCATTCGACTCCGTTGATCGAGAAGTCTTGTGACAATGTCTCTCACTGAAAGACGTGCCGAGTAAGTACATCACATCACATTATTGAAGGCTCTGTACTCGAACACTTATGGGCGTGTTACAGCCTATGGTGAGATGTCCAGGGAGCTATACTCATCGAGTGGTGTCCATCAAAGGTGCTCACTGTCTGCATTCTTATTCAATTTTATCGTAGATATTCTTATGGAGGTCTCCTTCTCGTCACCTGATTACACAGAGGTTGGCCTAACCGCGGAGAATTTTCGTTGGACTTAGAAGACCCAGATGAAACAGTCGTGTTAGATAAAGCCTCTGACAAGATGCGGATTCTTCTGAACACTGAGTGGCAATTTGAAAATGTTTGGGATGCGTTTCTCACCACCCAAATCCAAATTGTTGCTCCAGGATTGGTCTTCAATGGTGCCACGGCTAATAATAGAGAGTGTAGTGGTTGAGTGTGTTGCCCACTTCACTTACCTGGAAAGTAGGATCAGCCCTGCCCTAGTGGCTCAGTGGCCGATGAAACCTCTGCATGAATACAAAAGGCTCGGCTGGCTTTCGCCAACTTACGCCACCTGCGGTGCCCTCGTGATATCCGATTGTCTATTAAGGGTCGCGTGCATTGCACAGCAGTCAGGTCTGTTCTACTGTATGGCTGTGAAACATGGCCATGGAAGGTGGAAGACATGAGAAGGCTGGCTTCAAGTGTTTGACCACCGTTGCCTTCGTAGTATAGGCCGCATTCCGTGGTGTCACCGTGTGAGTAACGCAGAAGTCATGTGTAGAGTTTTAGGGAGTAGAGGTAAATCAGTTGACGAAGTTGTAAACTTTTATCGACTGAGATGGTTGGCTGGGACATGTGTTACGTATGCCTAGTCGCCGATTGCCTCGTCACACAATTTTGGCCGAAGTGGGTCCAGGCTGGAAAAAGGCTCGGGACATCCAGACTAAAACATGGCACCAATGTATGAAGTCTTTGACTGTTGGTTTCAGCTATATGGGGCGATGCAGACTAGCCAGTTGGAGTCCGCAGGACAAGAGGAACCAGTTGTTGGAGACTCCAGGTGATATGGCTGAGAACCGATGTCAGTGGCCCAGATGTATACATACATTATCCTCATCTTAACGACGCTATACCGAATCTCACCATTTTCTTATTCTTCCTTTCTCTCTTTTCATATTTTATATTTCTTTTGACTGAATTTTCTTATCTTCATCTTGCACCTCACTGCCTTTTTACCTGATGTGATGGTATGAGCTGTGGTAACTCGGACTGTTACACAGTAATGCCTGGTCCTATGTTTATATTGATTGATGATGGTGATGATGATCGAGGTGGTATTGCACATGCCACGCCAGTCCCTACCTCTATGCGTAATGTTACTTAAAACAGGATTAGATTGGAAGAAAACTAAGGGTAGATATACCAAAAATATGGAACTAACTCATGAAATCTTTGTTTGTCATTCAGGCCGGTGTAAGCCCTCTGGTTGAGGACTTTGATGTGATAGAATCTTGGTGGTACGATTCTAAATTGTTTACAATGGTGCAGATGCCGTTTAGGTATGGCTAGTCCCTAAGAGAACTGATTTACGATATGTTTATATTATCATTGTAAAGTTTAAGCCTTATTTTCGCGCCCTTTTGTGCCATGCTGTGTTGCTTATTTTCACCGAAGTTTAGGGTACTAAACGCTGATTGTTCCATTTTACACTTTGAATATACGATTTTGTTTTCTCTGGCCAAGACCATCTAAGGATATGTAAACTACTGAGTTTTCACCTATTATTATTCGATTGGAGTAAATAAACTTTCAATCCCATCGTCTTCTTCTGGTGTCAGCTCAATATCGAGTTAAGAAGTCATTGTTCTATTGTTAATCGTATCATCTCCGAGCATTATATCGTTATCTATAGCGTTGTATCGCAACAATGCCTACCACCTATGAAGGTACTTAGAAGTATATCTTGACTAATGGATTAAGAAGATAAGTATTACGAGATGATATCATCTCGTAGTTTCTCTACAATCACATTATAACTAACGTGATGTACATTAATAAATAAATTGTCAGTTAACTCTACCTCATGTTGTATCTAGAAGCTCACCTAAAGTTATGGGGACACATATAGATAAAACTAACTGAATGATACAATATCGTTGGAAAGAACATGTTCCTCAAATCATATGATTAAACCAAATATACTTAACGTGAATAGAAATCCAGCATTATCTATACCCAGGTATCTATTGATGACTGATCACAAAAATCAATGCTGATGACTGTTTTTCAATTATTTCACATGACTTCAGTTCAAGGTTTATTAATCGCACCCGCCCAAACTTAGGTGTTCAGAAAATAATGGATATGACCCTTTGTCTACCCTGGACTATTTGACCTTGTATCATGATCGGATATTAATATTCCCCTAAAATCCATATGGCAATCAGCTCTCTACCTCAACTTCATCGACTTTGAGAAGGCCTTTGACAGCGTCGACCGAGAAGTAATTTGGAAGCTGCTTCACTACTACGGAGTACCGCAAACCTTTATCCGCCTCATTCAACAACTATATGAAGATGCCACATGCCAAGTAATTCACAATGGGAAGCTCAGTGATGCTTTTGAAGTGAAGACAGGAGTGAAACAAGGTTGTCTACTATCCCGCATGATATTCCTGATTGTGGTTGACTGGACTGGATCATGCAGCAAACAGTGGGGAGCGATAAGAGGGGGATACACTGGACTGCGGAAAAGAACCTAGAAGACTTGGATTTCGCCGATGACTTGTGCCTAATGTCACATAAACTTGAAGATCTACAGGTGAAAACTAACAAGTTGACAGAAGAGGCAGCGAAGACGGGACTTCAGGTGAATATAGAGAAGACAGAGGTGATGAAGATACCGCACCACCAACAAACTCCAATCACCATGAACGGGAGAAACTTAAAGGAAGTAACCTCCTTCACTTACCTAGGAAGCACTGTTTCAACTACAGGCGGGACGGACGAGGACGTCAAAGTCAGAATCGGAAAGCAAAACAGGCGTTCATTAGCCTGAAAACAGTGTGGAGATCTGCACTCAGCATGTGGAACAAGATACGGATTTCCAACACCAACGTCAAGTCAGTGCTCTTGTATGGCTCAGAGACTTGGCGCATCACGAAAGGGATTTCCAATAAACTACAGACATTCATCAATAACTGCTTACGCTCGCTACTGAAGATCAGATGGATTGCGAGAAAGAATAAGCAACAAGGAGCTCTGGGAACGAACCAACCAAGAACCTATCACGCAACAAATATGCAGGAGGAAGTGGAGATGGATTGGGCATACACTGAGAAGGCCGACTGAGGACATCACGCATCAGGCCAGTCGCTCGAGTGGAATCCCCATGGGAAGCGACGAGTTGGACGTCCGAGGGTGATATGGAGGAGGTCGTGCGAGGAAGAAATGAGAGCTTCTGGGCTGTCGTGGAACCAGGTTCAAAAGATCTCAGAGAACAGAGGTCACTGGAGACGTGCTACTGAAGCCCTATGTTCCACTAGGAACCCAAGGGACTAATAATAATAATAATAATAATAATAATAATAATAATAAAATCCATATAGTTGCAAATGCTGACAAATACTTTATTTGGTTCCCCAACTGATGTCAGTCCGTGATAAATACTTCCTCAAAACTAAAATCCCCATTCATCTCAAAAATACAATACTGTTTGTTGCTAATTAGTGACATGCTTACAGATAGATATCACGAAGTTCCAATGAGAAGCTGTAACTTTTGGAGTCAACCAGTCGGGATGGAAGCGGATACCATCTGAAGACCGTGGGTGATAGTCGTGCTATATCGCGAATTGACAGAAGTTGGAAATTGTGAACTACTGAACTCTGACCCAGTGGCTGACCTGAAGGTTCTGAGTTCAATCCCTAGCCGGGTCGTGGGTGCGTACTGCTGAGTAGTCCCATGCTAAGACGAAACAGCTGTCCAGTACTCCCATGTTTTCAATGGTTCCCCAACTAATATCAGCCAGTGGTGAATACCTCAGAATACTTTATTTATTAACGTACATCATGTTAGTTGTAATGCTATTATAGAGAAACTATGAAATGATATCATCTCGTAATATTTATCTTCTTAATGCCTTGTTTAAATTTATAAAAGGGACAAACTATTTCAAATGTATACTATTTGTGAATGAAATTTACGACATGCACATTGTTAACCTATATTAAATGTCAACAGTTTGTATTGATTTCATTTTGGAGTTTCATTTCTTCTTTCTAGTTAAAATCATCTAATAGTTTATCGAATTTGAGGGTTATACAAATACTCTTTTATATAGCATTTTACATGTTCTTTTTCAATGTTAAAAAAAACTTCATTTCTAGATGTGTTGATGAATTGTGCAGTTTTCTGCAAACATGCTTAGAACAAATGAATTTGTTAATACGCGTCTTCCGTGAACCAATACTCTCGTTAACTCCATCCTCTTATCAACAACAAATGACGACAACTACGACGTCAACAACACCAGGCAGTGCAGCTAATGAAGATTTTACACAAGTTTTATTTGGTAGTATGTTAGATGTGTATAATAATATGCGCATACTACTGGATACAATTGAAGCAGAAGATGAAGATAATTATTCACCGAATATCACTACCAAATCTAAGGATTGTCAGCTATCAACACCCAGTATGATTAAATCGATAAATACATTCAATTCTACTTCTACTAATAGGTTGAATGACACTAGTTCAACAATGACTTATCCTTCGTCTGAAACTTTTGCCACACTTGATTCAATCCCAGAGAAACAAATGTCTGGCAATCATGATAGTGTAAATAATGAAAATCGACACAATCATAAAAACTGTGTTAATGTCTACTCTTCAAACAAAAAATCATTATCACCCACTCTACCCTCTAGACATTCTTCATCACCAACATTCCATTCCGTCTGTCCATCTTGTCCAACTATTGTAGATGATCCTCGTCGTCATCACCATCAACTGAATAAACGTGAAGAGGAAGAAGATCATTCTATCAGCAGCGATCATGCTACTAACAATAATTATATGAATAATAGTAAAAAAACTCATCCTAGACGCCTAGTTGGTATATGCTTGATTGAATTAGCTGAAGATGATTCATTGCATGCATTCAGTCAGTATGCTACTATTGCCCTTGATTCTAACTCTAGAGATCGGGCTTGGAATTCGATTGAACATGAAAGTTATGTGCATGAATTGTGTCAGCTAAGCCGAAGCATTGTACATACTGTTTCTTTAAACAATAAAGTGAGTTTATTTCACCTTTTGTCACTTCGAATAATGTTATGTAATATGCTAGTTTTTTTTATGGGATTTGTTCGAGAATGATGATTATTTTCAAGGCTAACCTAGATTGCTAAGTCAGATTTAGGTCAGTTGGGTTTAATCTACTTTTTGCACGGTTTTACTGTTCACTGAACACTTGGTGGGATTTAAATGTCATCTAAGTTACTCCATACCTTTGTTGATTTTGATGATCAGTATGCCAATTGTTTACAAACTCCACGGTTTACGTTGATATGTATGTATTCATAGGGTTTCTACTGGAGAAAAGTTAACCAACATCACAGATCGCTATCTTCGACGTAATAGTATCATAGACCAATTAATTATACTGCTGAGTTGAGTGGTTGGAAAGTTGATCAATTGGTACAAATATCAACGTGGACCGTTCAGTTTGTAAATAATTTATAAATTGATCAAATGAAAATGAAGACGGATAACTCATCCAAATCAACTAGTCAGATTGAGTTGGTGTGACTTATTCAGCTGTTCTGTGAGATGAGTTTACCTGAGTTCCACTGTTTATGAGTTGTTTTGGCTGAAGATGATTGAAACAACCATTTAGAGTTCAGGCCTTTCTAATATGTTTAATAAAAGTGTGGTTGTTTACTACTCGTGTCCAATAGTATATTCTTTAAATTCAGGTATCATATGCTTTTATTTATTAATAACTAACTGCATTACTATTTTTAAGTAACTGTATTAAGCTTCTTTCTTATTATAATCCGATTAAAGATTTTATTTAACGATAAAATGCATTAACCTCATTTAACTTGAACGAAAATTCTACAAGTAACCATTCTCAGGTCCTTTGACATCATTCTTATTTAGGATGAAAGTCTTCCGCAAAATTTTTGTGATTATGGTCAGTTACATTTGTATCAAAGTAGACAACCATCTATATACCTAATTTCTATCTCATATATTCTTAGGTATATAAGAAAAGTAGGCGGACAGAGGCAAAACAGCCATGGGACCCCACATAAAAGTGCAGGGGTTACAGTTGCCACAGTTGGCTACAGTATTGAAAGGAAAAGGGAGAAAAATTTAAAGAAGCAAAAACCTTTCAGTAAAAATAGCAAGAACAAATAAATAAAGATAATTACGATGCTTACAGTTTTGAAGTGATTAAGGATTGAATACAATCACTGATGAATTGCATCTTGACTGTAATCAGATGGTTTACGCCGTTGTTGGGGGATATTTCCCGTCGCTTAAAACACTTTACTTCTAGGTAGTAAATCCCTAGTTTAAGCCCCACCGTATCTACTTCAAAGTGGGTAACCAGGTTAGTATATTAACCTGTCATAGCGAATTTGGTTCATAGTCAAATAAATGAAACGTATATCAAGCCTCCGAGTTGCACTACAAGTTATCAGCTTACACTTTCTGAAGTGCTTTAGGTCGATTACTACAATTTCTAACTGTTTTCAAACTAATCCTATCACAGCCATAAAATCATTTCATCAACTGGATAAAGTATTTCGGTTACACCTGAAGTTGTTTAGGAGTCCCAAAATTTCAAAACTGGTTTAGGTCGATGTTTCATCTGACAAAGAAGAGTAAATAGCTGACCGAGTCTCTCACTTCACTCATTTGAGAAGACACTTTTACTTTGATCAGTCACTGGTTGGATACGATGAGCTCGGTTGACGTTTGCTAATTTATGCCATCTAGGACTTGGGTGATATTTGATTGACTACTAAGGGTCAAATGTACTGCAGTTCAATCTGTTCTACTACGTAGCCGTGAAATATGGCGATTAAACGTAAAGGACATGAGAAGGCTTCAAGTGTCACCACGTGAGTAACGTAGAGGTCAGGCGTAGATTTCTAGGCAGAAGAGGAAGTCATTTGATGACGTTGTGAACCTTTGTCGACTGAGGTGGTTGCGACATGGATTACGCACACTAGCCACCACCTGCTCCATCTCAGAATGTTACCTGGAGTAGGTTTAAAGTGGAAAATAGTTAGGGGCAGCTGAACTGAAACGTGGCATCATTACATGATATCTCTGACTATTTGTGTGATCCGTGCATTGAAAGGTAAACTTCCTGGTTACAGTCTGCGTAATAGCCGAAACCGGTGGTTGGAGATACCAAGTAATATGGCTCAGGAACGATCTCAGCGGCGCTGATGTTCCCATACATTATGTTTATCTTAACCGTTATATCACATTTTTTATCCCCACCCCTCTCTTCTTTCTTCATAACTTTTTACAACTTTTGACTACTTTTTTTCTTATTTCTCTACCTCCCCTCTTCCACCTTGATGTGCTGATATAAGGCATGACAACTTGAACTGTTGCACGGTAATACCACATCCCCTGTTGGTTTCAACCGAAAAACCTTCTTGAAATTATAAGGACATCAGTAGTTAGTAGTGAAACGTTTACAGATTACCTTGCAAACAACGCACATTTCATGGCTTCCATATTCTTCAGAAAGCGAGAGTTCCGCATGGTTTTTTTTTTAACAGTTCCGATGCCTTATACACAACCGTTTCAGGTAAAAGTAAGGTGTAGGCTATTGTTAGAGTTTTTCTACGCAATAAAAGCTGGTGGTTGAAAATATTCAATCTGGAACTTGATTACAGTGGCGCAAATGTGACCACTTCATATTTTCTTCTTCAAACTCATTAGCAAATTATCTCACTGTGTGTTACATCTCTTTTCTCCTGTTCTTAAATCCACCTACTATAAGGTGAAGTACTCTCACAAGAAGGACAATTTAATCCAATAAAACGACCTGTATGTCATCACTATTTAGTATTTATATTATAATTTTGTATGATATTTCGATTGACTCTATTATTGAAAAACCTTTCATTTATTGAATTAAATTTCTTTTTCATAGTATCCTGGCCACAATTTCATCTCATCTTTATCAACAACTGATCTACACTCGTTCACCTGTTCGCGTTGTCAGTATTGGGATACAGTTGTGGGTATGCCACGTCGAAGATCTACTTCATCCTCTATCGCTTCACCTATACGTAATGATAATACACCATCGAATTCATTTAACAAAGATACAATGTCTACTTCAATCGATTCAGCAGATAAAATTGAATTAACTTCAAAGACATCTCACCGCCATCACAATCATCGTTCACCACATTTATCCTCTTCAGATATGTGTGCAACTAATTGTAATTATTTGGTCAATGCTACTAGGTATCTGCTTCCACGGTTAATTTTATTGCCAATATTTCATTTTTTCTACTTTCACGAATTAATTGAGGTAAGTGTAATACACGAAGGTTTACAAGTTTTTTTTCTCACTATTTCATGTTGAATGCTTGATGTATTTACATTTATGAGTAGTTTTTCATCTATGTTTTATAACCAAGGTGAATTGTCAGTGCTTCTGCTGTCCACAACTGTTGAAATCATACTCCTTCTGAAATATTCCCTTTGACTGTGTAAATTGCACTGAAGGAGGACTGTGGTAGTGTTCAGAGTTGATTAAATGTTCAATAACTAGATTTTTAGTTCATTTACATTCTCTCCTTGACAGCCATGTAGGATAGTGCCCAGAGATATGTTTGGAAAGTGCACGACATGTACGGCCTGTTTAACCAGCTCTACAGGAGGAAGTAAATTTGTAGGGACTCTAAAGTGGCCCCCAAATGGCTTGGTATGCGTTCACAGCCTCTGTCGGAGAAGTCATATTCGCTACCTTCATGTGGGCAGATGTGAATGGGCGCAAGCGAATGTTCGGCGCTTATCACCGGATTGATGGATATTAAGGGTCCACCTAGGGGAGTTTGAAAACCCTGATTTCAATCCAATGTTGCTCATGAGCTCCAGGTTCTAGATGAAACGAAGGGTGTATGAACCTGTTTCGGTCACCGGCAACCATAGGAATGCAGCTCCTGATGTTGCTGCACTGCCTTGTGGATTGGACTTCAAGTCAAGGGCTCGGGGAGTGGTCACCTATGACAACCACCTGCTTCAGCCTGGGGGCCAGGGCAGTATCCCAGCTCTCACACAAGAAGTGAACTATGAACTTACAATATAAAAAGATTTTAAAGCTGTTCATCAACCGGTTACTCAAGTTATTGCTTTTACATATGAACTGTATTTTTTCGTCGTTAGCATTTTCGCTTTTGTCTTGATCTTCAATCCACTCAACTGTTCTCCGTTGCTTAGACTTCTAGCGTGCCTGTACTGTTTTGAGCCACCAAACAGTTGCCCCTATAAAGCTGTCTTCCAATGCACCATCCGACACAGCTATCCTGAAACCATGCATAACATTTAAGCTCGTTACCTTTAACGTTCACACCTTGATGCAAATCAAACAACAAACATGTTTGGCTAGGACTCTTGAAAGCCTCGCTGTTGATGTGTGCTGCATCTCAAAGACCCGCATACGAGATCCCAGTAATGTACTTCGAATGAGCTTCCCATCTGCCACCTCGAAAAGTCTGTTTCATGTACGTCTATCCGGAGACCCTGTGGGATTGGAAACCGGCCTCTCTGGTGTTGCTGTCGCGCTAAGCGCTCTAGCCGAAGCTGCACTGCTCGACCGGATCCCCGTCATTAGTCTTCTATGTGCTGTTAGGCTAGAAGGTCCGTCTCGAGTAAGAAGTAACGGATAAGAGTAACGATACCTCTCTGTCATCTGCTTATGCTCCGACGGATTGCAGCCCGGATAAAACCAAAAATGAATTCTATCATCAAACGAGTGACTTTCTCAACCAAGTGTACTTGGCAGACATAGTACTGCTAGCTGGGGAGTTGCACGCATAGGTCAAACGTCTAGGGTCAGATGAGAGTTATTAAGTGGCCAGAGGAGCATAGTTGGCCGCAGGTCAGATAATGAGGATTCTCTTCTTCAGCTTTGCGTAGATCTCAACCTATTTCTAGCCAGCACCAACTTTTGGTACGGCCATCACCGTTGTGCTACGTGGCGTCCTCCCTCTGCCACTCAAGTCTGGATTTGAATAGATAATATTGCAATCAGCTACCGATCTCGTGGGTGCATACAAGACTTTCGCTCCATAAAGGATACTTCCCTGGGCTATGATCATGCTTTAGTATGTGCTAAACTCGTCTTGCTTCTGGGTGATCATTAAACTAGTCGTCTCAAACAGGTCGATGCATGCAAATTGGTTGCACCTAACATTGCGGCTATATACAAATCCGAGCTAGATTGAAGACTAGCTACCGATCCTCCATAAAGTGTAGATGAGCACTAGCTGCACTTGCAAGACGCCATGAAAATGGCAAATGAAGCCACTTGCGGCTTGGAAGAACGTCCTGCTAATAAACACTGGGTTTCTGCAAGCTCCCTGCAACTTCTTGACGCCTGTCAGAGCATTCCGGTGGATAGCGAGTAGAATGGTTCGCGTAAGTCTCTTACGCGAAAGACTATGCAACCCTTATGCAAGGACCGAGAGGCTTGGCGGTCAGATGGAAGCAGCAGAGCTGCATTTGACAATAATCGGAAGCTGTTCCAGCTCATTCGAGCCACTGGCAGCAAGAAGCTGGGTGTCAGTGAGATGGTCTATGAGGTGGATGGTACACTGATAAGCAATCTTAAAAGACACCTGGAACGCTGGGCGAAGCATTTCGAAAAGCAGTTTAGCCGATCCACCGCTCGAGCACTGTCAGTTTCAGTTAACACTGACCCACCTAACGAAACGGGGGTATATAAGGAACTCCAAGTTCTGAAACGCTACAAGGCACCCGGCGCAGACAACTTACCCTCGGTTCTGTTTAGGGATAGAGGAACGACTCTACTTAGGGAACTGACTAGATTGTTTGAGAAGTTATGGCAGACTGAGGGTGTTCCATCACACTGAAATGAAGTCATTGTTGTGCCCATTTTTAAAAAGGGTCTACGTAATGTATGTGATAATCATCGGGGTACTAGTCTATTACCAGTAACGTCGAAAATATTGACTGCTATCATACTTTGCAGACTTTGCGAAACACGTGAGAAAATGATTCGCGAGGAGCAGGTTGGGTTTCATTCAGGTTGTGGATGCACTAATCAAGTGTTTACCCTCGACCAGATGTTTGAACATTGCCAGACGTGTTAGAGTCCAACAATCATTGTATTTCTTGACATTAGGGCTCACTTCGATTCGTTGGACAGAGCTGTACTCTGGAACTGTCTGTTGGAGAGGGGTGTGCCTGATAAATTTCTTATAATCTTGAAATCCCTATATAATAACGTTTTAGGTAGAGTGAAGGCATACAACCACATGTCTTCATTGTTCGAAACCAGCAGTGGGGTTAGGCAGGGTTACCAGATTTCCCCATTCCTCTCTAACTTTGCTATCGATGGCGTTCTTTAGACAGCTCTGAAGGAAGTGCGTCATGGTGGTGTGGATCTATTAATCAGAGAACAGCTATTCAATCTTGAATATGAAGAAGACATAGTCTTAGAGGTAAGCTTTGTCGGCTAAAAGATCCGATAGAACCAATTAAGCAAAATAATATAATCTACCAAATTCCATGCAATGACTGTGAGGTCAAATACATAGGTCAAACTAGCCGGTCGGGGTCAGTTAGATTAACAGAACATAGGAATTTAGCCAAACATAGAACGGCAGACCCCAATAAGATCAATAACCTAGAAAAACACTCGGTCATTGCATTACATTCATTAACACACAACCACACAATAAGGTGGGACAAAACCACTGTACCTAAGTCTAATATAGCTAGGTGGAGAGAGAGATTAATTACTGAATCTTTGTTCATCGAATCCACACCCAACACATGTACTAGGAATGACGCAACACACATACCAGAGGTATGGAAAACTTTACTACCAATCAAAAAACAAAAAACAAAGAGAGATCAGGTGACAGGACTATAAAATCAGATATCGAAAGAAGTGTGATTACATTGATATGATTATGAGCAATAATTTATGCTCGAAACGTAATCAAGTAAATAATACTGTATCACTGTGCGCTATATATCAAATAAACAAATCTAATATGGAATTACATTCTACCACAGTGCCCAAGTTTTTCACTTATATTAAGACATAGTCTTACTGTGTGATAACACAAGCTGCTCAAATCTCACCTAATCAGTTGACGATAAGTGCCCGTAAGTATTGTATGTCTATGCACCATGGAAGTGCAAAGTCCTTTTACAAGATTGGCAGGAGCCTTTGCTTGCACTCACCCTTGGTGGTGAGCCGTTGAAAGTAGTCGAAAAGTTCGTGAATCCGGGTTGTGTGAGTGCTGGCAGAGGTACGAGTGGTGAAATTTCCAACCTCACACCAAAAGCTATAGTGGCATACATCAATCTGCGCCACCTTTGGCGCCATCGCAACGTTAATCTGACCGTGATTGGTCGGGTTTACTACGCTTCACTGTGAGCAGTTCTGCTCTACACCTATGAAACTTGGTCTCTCAGCTGTGGGTGTGCGATAACTCTGTGTGTTCGATCATCGTTGTCTCCATAGCATTGCTCGTATCCGATGGCAACACCATGTAAGTAATTCTGAGGTACGACAGTGTGTGTTTGGGCATGATGGAGTTAGTCATTCAATAAGTGAAGTCATCTGGAAACATCGGGTTCGGTGGATTGGACATGTGCTACGCGTGTCGTCCGAATGGTTTCCACACAGTTTATTGTTTGCCAACCCTAGGACTGGATAGAAGAAGTGAAGGGGTGGTCAGTGTATGATGTGGGTCTGTGGGATGAAGGATAATTGTGTCGGGTTAGCACCTTGTTTGTGCATCAAACTCTGTGAGTGGAGTCCGAGAGATCACGACACTCAGTGGCTTCAAATGTTATCACATATGGTTCAGAATCGAAACCAGTGGTGGTCATGTTGTAGCTTCCTTCTATCTTGTGTTGCTGAAAATTGATGAATGTTTCGTTTTGAATGTGTCTTACTGAACTGCCCTTCTAACCATTCTATTCTTAATGTGTTTTATTTATTATTTATCCACTTTCCTTCGCTTTACGTATTCATAATGTTGTTACATTATGTTGTGTGGTGCATTTCTTGATGCTCCTTCTATACCACGTTTGTTTTCTAATAAATAATAATAATGATAAATAAAGTAACTTAAAGCAGCAACTTTCCCTTAGCACAGCCCAAAAATATTTACTGACTAGAAAAGCTTACCTGTAGCTTTGCAGAGAAGGATATCTTCTTCAGCCATTTAGATAGCCGTTTGTTAAGGATCTCTACTTCCGTATCACCTTTAAAACTAGATTTCATAAATCGTCTTCTTTGGAGCTACGAATGGTTAAACAGTGAATTTTTTCGATAATAAATACGCCCATTTCGGTGAGAAGTAAGAAGTTCATCAGCCAATATATTCAACATGACTAACTTTTTATTGATCTATTTCCGTTCTCAAAGTTGCTTAGATTTTACAATTCTTAACATCGAAATCATAATGAGTAGTTGAAATCTTAAGAAGTTGAAACAGAATGTCTGGAAAGTCTTGCATATCAAACCGTAAGAATTTATGAATGCTTACTTCTGAAAATTCCTAGAATGTGCAAAATGTTTGTACCATAAACTTTCCTTTTCAAAGACTGGTATTAGTGTTTGCTAAAAAGACACATTTCCTTCTGCAGCATTGATATCGTAATACAGAGATTCAAGTGATATGCATCATTTGAGTGGATATTCTTTAAACTTTCTCTCTATTTTGTACTCCATTTCTAGACATTACATCGATGTGCTTATGACGATGAAGATCGAGCACGTTTAAAAGAAGTGCTTAGTATGTTGAGTAAAACGCGCAGCACATTGGAACGAGATCTGGCTAAACACCCATGGGTTGCGTTGCATCTAGTCCGATTAATATCAACTGGTCAATTGACTAATCGTTATCGTTCACTATACTTAAACGCTGTTACTGGGGCATCTTGTCCACCAAGTCCAGTAAACTATACAGCTCCACCTTCACCAGTTGGCCCTTCAAATCAAATTGGTAGTCACGTGTCATGTGCTTCTGTATTCAATGCCAGTTGTAATTCGTCTGGTAATATATTTAACTATCATAATCCTCATCATTCAACAGGATCCACTGGAGCTGTGACAATCACCCCAACGGTAGGATCTATTAATTCTACAGATCTACCATTTATATATAACAATACAATTCAAAGTAAAGCCGATGAAATTGAGAAACTTTTATGTGGTAAAGACAAATTGTCAATGCCCAGCAATTGTCGTAGTGCACTGGGTGATTTTGTCTTGGGTAAGAGTTTTGGTGATTATATATATATACATATATTAATGAGTTAGGCAGTCGATTTTCTAACGTTGCCACGATTGGTTAGATTCAATTCAATTAATTGTTCAGGTTAATTTCATATAGTCTGTAGGTTTTCGGCTATGGCCATGACTACAAAAGGCTGTACATCATTGCTTATAATGGCATTTATTTTAAATTATTTTACTTCTTATTGAAATGAACAAAATAATCGAGAAATTTTGTTTATGAGTGCGGAAAAATTTACTGTATATGTTTAACTTGTTTATAACAGGTATCACCCGCTGGCTCCACTTTCAACCAGTGGTGACAACGTTTAAATCCTACTTCACCTACTTCGGTTTTTGCAGTCGTGTACTATCATAACTGCTTACACAGTAACTGTGGTCCACAGTGTAGTAGAAAAACATACGTGGTGTGTGGTTCTTATGCGAACATATGTAAGTAGTGTATAGCATGATATCCGTTGGAAAAGCAAGTATAGTTATCATCCTGTCGATAGGGATTCTAAAAGAGGGAATGAGAAACTAGGGAAGGAAATACAGCAAATAAAGAAAGAAATAGAAAATGAAGATCAATTCTTCTCGAATGTAGAATGCATTGACCATTCGCATAGAATCAGTTTACAGTACGGTTTTAATATTTTGCCAGTACTCAATGAACAGTTTCATAGGTCCGTCATCAACATTATTTCTACAAATGTATCAGGTTGAGTTGTATTACATATATTGTATAGATTGCATTTCTTTAATTTGACTATGTAATCATAAATTGTATCAGTTACTTCAAAGTATCCATGATTTTTATCCGAGTTTCGTGTTCCATGATACCGTGATACCAGTCGACAGCTAGAAAATGAAATATTTCTAACACAACTCGTACTTGACGACCTAATTGTGTCAAATTGAAAGTTTTAAATATTTGTCGCCTACTAGGCTTTCTGAAAGAATGTAAAATTTGTGTACAACCTAGTGGTTCAAGGTATGGAGCTGTAGCTCATTGTCATATGAAGTTGACTTTCAACGAATTGGTCACGGGTTCGAACCCATCGAGCCTTGGACAGCCAGGTAGTATCACTAACCCTCAAACAATTTGGGTATGTCTCATTGCCTACTACATGAATGCGCATAAGATTGCTGAGTACGTTCCGATTCCGGATGGCTTATGGTTGGTGACAGCGATACCTATTTTAGAAACACGAAGTGAAGTAGCGTAGTGCTCAAACTTCCTAAGGAGGATCCCTGCTAATGAAATATTGGTCTAGATACGGAATACTCGTTTGACACTTGCGACTAGGACTTATCAGATTAAGGTTAAGCTTAAGTGTTATCTACTCTATCCTCAACTGTGAAAAATTATCGCTGAAAGTAGATGACCCGAAGACGTTGCAAGTAACTGATTATAAACAACCTCCTAGAATCTTTGGTATGAAGAAACTACTGACTGGGCAGTATCAACGTTTAGTTCAGTATTCTAAACAAAATCAGCAAGTTAGTCGACTGGGTTATGGATTTTCACTGAATTTGTTGATCAAACCTGTGTGTTGCGTATGCCAATTCAGTCCCTAACCGTTTTTCAAAAAGATGTTTTTGCATTAGTCTTTTCTAGTGGATAAAGGAATTGACAAAAGCATAGTCTCTTGTGTTTGAAATATTCTGAATAATTCTCAGACATTTCGCACTTCAGGTTTTAAATGACTCAGTAGTTTTAATGTAACGGAAAAAATGTCTGTGTGGTCAAGCCAAGACGTAACATTTAATAAACTTACCTCGCTAGTATGAACCTCAATGTAAATATGACTCAATAACATGGAGACTCCTAAACGCCTTTCAACATGGACTGTCGTCAACTGGGGAATCAAGGAGCACTTTATAGCTACTCTACTCAACTTTGAAACTTATCAGTGCACACCGATAACTTCGTGAATGTTGCTTGTCGATGACATTAAATGATAGTCACGGTACGTTGCAGATTGACAAAAGTGAGGAGATGTGGACCGTTAAATTTCAACCTATGGGAAGAGTGGTAACATGTTTCTCTCAAGGTCTGAGGGTTGTGAGCTTGATCCCTGAAACGATGATGGGTGTTTACCACTGACTAGTTCCAAGTTAAGATAAAATAGCTGTCCAACACTCCATGATTTTGATTGATCGTTCATCTGACATCGATCCGTGATGAAAACTACTTTGAAACTAATTGAACTCTGAAAGCTTTCAGAATTATCAGCCTAGTAATCGATTGTGTATCAGTGAATGACTTGTTTCTCCTTTCAATCTGTCACCATACAACTATTGCTATCTGGTTGAATGTAGTGAAGCATCAACGTTTTTCGTTGGAGCTATTCTTGAGAAAACTATTTTTCTTCATGTCTTACTGTAATCATGAAGCTTTCTATTGGTTACTGCTCAGTCATTTCACTTGTCTTTATGTCTTCCTTATTTTTACCTATGTGGCATACTATATTTTAGTTATCGTTTTTAAATTTATCTTTATATTCATATTTACTTCACTCGGCTGTTCTTCACATTCAAAGTTTAGTCTGTCTGCATCGATTTGAGTTACGAAACAGTTCCAGAAAGCTACCTTTCAGTGAGATATGACACAACGTCTTAGATGAAGTTTTAGAGATCACATGACTCAGTGTCTTGAGACGATATCAAACGCGGCTGAGAATTGAAACCAGTGATGGGCAAGCTGCAGTTTTCTTGTTTTTTCTGTTATCTAAAAGTAGAACGAAAGTAGTTAATGCTTCTTTGGATAGTCTTTGAGACTGCTTCTTTGGTGACTCACTTCTGTTTTTGTTTCCATTCTCCTTTCTGTTTTCTTCGTCATCATAATATTGCCCTACTATTTTGTGTGGCATATCTTTTGGTAGTCATATTATTGCAAATTTGTATTCTAAGTAAATAATAATTATTTTCTTTTTACTTTTCAGAGAGTCGTGTGCATTTACGTACTGAGTCAAAAAAATCATCAAGTGAACATATCGCCTATTTATTTACTGGTCTTTTGTTAATATGCAAATGGCAGGAACGCCGTTCCACTCCATTAAATCCAACTTCTATGCAACAGTCTGTTTTACGTGTTAAACATCGAATACCACTTGATTTAATTCATGTCACTGACTTACCACCAATTGTTCAACCGAATTTAACTGGTTATGTTGGTCACAGCGGGCCAATGACGCCGTCTTTAGTAGGTGCTGCAGTTTTAGCGGCAACATCAGCGAACAGTTACCCGCATAGCAGTTCATCCACTGTCAGTTCGCATGAGGATACATCAAGTGTGGGAATGTCAGGTGATTCTACGTTTGTTAACTTTATTTCCCCATCTCATGTATTATTCGATTGTCTTTTCGTTAAAACAATTGAACATCGATTAGAAGATTTCTGTAAATAAGATGTTATTTGCAAGAGTAGAACATGGGTACTATGTTAGGATGTAATTGCATAAAAGATTTTTAAAAATATGATAATAGCCCACACTGATACAGTATTGTTTTATTGGATGAAATTACACTAGGCACAATTTATTACCTATAGTGATATCATTGTCGTCAAATAACTGTCGATATATTCTTTTATAGTTTTACATAACCTTAGATTTTTCAATTATTTTTGATATAATTTACTACACTCATAGAATAGATTTTGTTTTATTAACATTGGATATGTTGTGTGTTGATTCGATGGACAAAAGACTCACCGACCACCCACTCTGTTTTATCTAGCTATGACTCCTCACTGATACATAATCATACAATAGAGCTTAGTGAAACGAAACCTGTTTCAAAGTGTAATAAGATTCCATTGGAATCATATAACAGGAAGTAACGTGAAAATATAAAAACTATCGAAAGTTGTGTGACTGCATCGGTATTAGCTATGGGCAATAAACTGAACCTGTCGTAACGTCATCCAGTAAAGCAGTACTATACAACTGTGTTTTGTCAAATAAAGAAAACTCACGAAACTCTTGATCAATCAGTTCATATTTACACAGTATCTATAAACAACTTCCAGTCTGTTGAAGGAGGGTAATTCAAAGTGAAATCTTTTAACTCACTGGATAGTTTCTTGAATCGAATTTCTTCAAAACACTAGTTATAGCCATAAACGTCCAACTTTGTCAGGATCCACTATGTGAGAGCCACTAAGCCTGTAGATCCAATGTTTCAATGGATTGTTTTATCATCCCATATAAAAGTTTAAGTTAGTATTTATGAGAATTCGTTCTGTGAAAAGACTCAAAATGTTGTCGTTTACCGTGGTGAGGAAAAAGGAGAAGGAAATCCACTCAGCAACCACCTGCACGTTCATGCAGTGGGCAATAAGTCACACCTATTGTGTAAAGGTTTATGATGCTACTTGGCCACCAAAAACTCGGTAGATGGGGCAGGATTCCAACTCACAATTCACTGGTTGAAAGTCTACTGCTTAAAACAATGAACTTACAACCATAATAAACATGAAATATGATCTATATTCACTGAGTATAACAATTTAGCGCTCTCTAGTGACTTTTTGGCCTGGATTTCTTAAAGTTCTGTGTGGAAACTTAAACCTCTAGAATCAACCAAATTGGATGTGTGGACGGCTACACACCAATGACATTTGATTTTGACCTAGCAATGCCATGAATCAGCGGAAGTTGGAAGATATTGCCCGTCCGGTTGCAACCCACTGTGTGAATGAATACGCTCACCACAAGACCAGGCATTCCTGAGCTCGTTTTCTCAAAAGGTTATGATTGTGAACTACTGAGAAGCTGCAAAATAAGGAAGAGACAGCTTTTCAGTGATCCTCGCTTTTCAGAAGTTCTCTAGTTGGTATCGATCCATAATTAAAGCTTCGAAACCAATCACTTCTGTACAAACCTTTTAATCGTTCATAATATTTAGTAAACGTTTGCGATATATTTGTTTCTTGTATGTAAGCGAATTCATGGCCTTGTTGACTATAAAGTTGTACATTTTAAGAATCTAGTTGTATTATCGAGCAGTTTCAGCCTATATATGTCATATATCACTGAACAATTTATATAGTCAGGGACAACGTTGATCTGTAGACTTAAACACTTGGACACTAAATGACCAAATTGTTCTAATAAGATTTAATCTAGGTAGTCGGTATACGTGAATCAATATACCTAAATTGAGTGGTCACTTTACAAGTTATTTACAATTTTCACGGTTCAGGTTGACGTTTTTAACATCTGCAAATGTAGTTATAAACTGCTTGCTGTGTCAATAGGGTTTCTGCTGGGAACTAGCTTAAATCACTAAATGTTATCTCCAACACAAAACCGTCATGAACCACCGAAGTGAGATTCCAGTATTCTCAACAGCGGACGGCCGTCTATCTTGTTTGGGTCTGAGCTTATCAGCACCGTATCCGGACTAATTCAGCCCACAAAACCTAACTGTTCGGACCAACTAGATCTGGTTATCTGACTTGATTTACGGTCAAATGGATTAATGATTTTGCAGTGATTCTGAAATAGCACAGTCTATACTGTGGTAGTTCTAACAAGCGGGAAAGTTTCTAACTGCTTGGCTGTCATACCAACAAGGTTCGAAACCATGTAATGTAAACCATATGTTGCGACCTGTTATGGAAAAATGTCATAGTGATAAAACGTACTATTGAACAGCATAAGTAATTAAGTGCCAAACACACCTGCACATTGATTTTGTACATTGTTCATCTGATAAACGTATTATACACTAACTGATGTACAAAATGTATATTGACACCTAGATTCCGACCAAAGTAGCGGTTTATAATGTACATCTTTTACCAAATCCATAGATTTTCGACCGGATATGAGGAGTTTTCAGTTTATCTTAAAGAACTGTCCTACATCACGAAAATGTGGCTATTCACTAACCAGTTTGCAATTAAAAGCATATGTAAATTACTGATGTTTCTACTGAATTCGATGCATTTACTGTTTATTTATTTATTCTTTTCAAGGTTTATTCACATTTAGTTTGAATGGCTCCATGTCAAGTCATTCAAGTCTAGCCAGTGCTGGTGGCTCAGGAATTAGTTCATTTCCATTTCTGTTCAAATTAGAATACGTTGATTCAAATTCCTGTAGTCCTTCATCGCATAGATCGAATCATTCCAATAGTCGTCATCATAATCATCATCATCATGGATACCATGTTAGTCCACAGAAATCTTCGAGTAAAATGAATTTCAGTGATGAGATAGCAACTATGAATGGTGGCAGTGATGCGAACTCAATACTGGCTAGTCTGTCTTCAACAAATAATACATCAGAAAAAGTAGGTTTAACTAATTTATCATCATCTGGCATCAACGTTAATCATATTTGGATATTTTTACGAACACCAGAAGAGAAAGCTGACTGGATAGCTAGCTTGTTAAGCATTCAAGTTTATCGGTAAGCTGTTTGTTGTTTATCTACTTCAATAGTATGGACTAGACTCTAATGTTGACTTGGGACTAGAGTGATGTTAGTATATGACACTCTGCATCTATGAGCAGACAGGTATACTAAACTTCATAGGTCCACTTATAATCACGTATCAGTCTGAGTTGTCACGCTTAACATAAACGGATCGAAAGGGAATTCAGTGAGAAAAAAACATGGAAGTTATGATATCAGTAGTAAAAATAACTATGCTATAAAAAAAAGAATACAATTTTGAACGTATATAACGATAGGCTTGTCATGTTTGTATTTCTATATGGTATGAATGCATGTGGACCACTTTGATCGATTATGTACTATATTACATGTAGCCTGCAAATTAGGATGCCGTACACTCCTTTACATTGCGCATACCTACACCTGTAGGTTTACCGACGAGTATCATACATTGGATTAGCTAACAGCTTGTCGTTGTTGACAGTAACGTAATATTTACGACATTCGTATCAGTAACATGAGTTGATGAAGGTTTCCAACCTCCCTTACTCTATTCGTCTCCTGTAAACTTCGTACATTATGATTCGACAACACACAAGACTTTATTGTTGAAACCAAACAATGAGATTGTTTTAAGTACATGTTGGTTCTATGCATATGTTTTCTTTAGTTGAACCCTGTACATCTGATTATTCTGAAGAGCAGTCCAACAGAGCAGCTGGGATTGTTTATTAGAAAATTAAAATCGACATTGATAAAAATATTAAACCTTACAATAAAGGTACATCAACAAACATTCCCCTTTTTGATATCCCACTGTGCACTGTTCTTGCACTCTATGTATGTAATAGATGTTCTATCTTCTTCCCTTCGGAATTTTCACCAATCAATCGTTATTACTTTTGTATTTTCCAATATTGCGCATATGTGCTACTGATATGGATCCATATAAGTAGTGTTTACCACAATTCTCAAAGTTGTATATTCTCTTAGCTCCTGGTTCATTTTAATGTTTTTATATTTTACCAGTGAAGTCAAAAATAATAATGATAGTGATAGCTGAATGTAAAGCTTATGAATTGATTTTATCCTATAAACAGTTCTTTATTTGCTTTCTGAGTAAGAACTATTTCACTACTAACATTTTGTGGTAATTGTGGCAAAAACGTTGTCACTTATAAATGTGTAGATAGATTTTACACAGTTATCCAAACTAGTAATTATTTTTTCAACAAAAGGAGTTTGTCCTTATTACTGATATCATACAGTTTTCTGTAACGTAGTCGAAAATAAAATGAAATCTCAGCTTACTGTATCAATTGTGGATACAGCTTACTGACCAGTGCTGTGGTTCATTGGTTTAAGCAGCTAACTTTCAACCAGTGGATCACGACGTCGAACACCACCCAACCTGCCGAGGTTTGGACTGTCAGATAATGTCTTCAACTCTCATACGATTGGTGCGACTCGCTACTTACTGTGCAAATACGCCCAAGGTTACTGAGGGGATTTGGATTCGTGCCAACTACCATGAAAGCTAAAGTGAAGCAGAACTTAATACCAATTGCATCCCGAAATCTGATAAGGAATATAGTTTAGTGTCTATCACTTAACTCACTGGTTACATTAAAAAGAATTAACGATAGGTTTTGCTCAGTACTAGAGTACATCGGTTAGTATCTGGCAACCATTTCATCTACTTGCTCTATTTCTGCATATGATCATTTTCACCTTAATAGCTTAAAGTTTTTAACTTCATTGTGACTTATGTTCAAATTCTCCAGAAAATATGGGCTTTCTCGATGTGGAAGATACTCTATATTGATAACTGCGAACAATCACAAGAAATATGATGAAGTTGTATCACCGATTAACTGTCACCTAATTCCATTATATATTAAAGGTACAAGAAAATTTCACCAGCTTATAATATGGAATGAGGGAAAGTTTAAACATCTACATCAAACTGAAAAAGACTATGAAATGCCTTGCAATGAATAACAATATGCTGAAGTCTGCTTTTTGATTCTTCATATTGTAATATCTTCAACGGAGCACAGACTTCGAATGTTTGTAACATGCAATCTGTCAAGGAAATGACAGTCACTATTTAAGACGCCGAAATCCTCTGGAATATATACATATACATATAAATGAAAATAATCGATTGCGTTCCCCATGTTTTGTCAAGTATATGTGAATTAGTAGTCGAATTTCACTTGTGGCATTCAATAAAGACTCATTGAATCAGCTGACAGCTCATCTGAAAGAAACAGACAGAAAGGTCTTCTAATCCAAATTTTCAAAAGAACACTTCTTTTATGAGAATAAAGGTCGTTGATCTTGAATTATTGACTGACAACCAGTCATGACCACCAGCATTAAGACATTTACACATCTCTCCAATCCCTCCTTTTTTTAAAGCCATATTTAAATGTAGATTAGTAACCTCGATAAATTTTTCTGTTTATACACTTCTGCTGTTAGATTACAAATCACTTTCATTTCTAAACGTATTTCTACGTATTTTATCATTTGCTTTTTATTCACTACCTACTATTACAGACTTTTTCTACGTTACATCCGAACACTACCTAGACTAGAAGTATCTCTTCGGTTGCCGTCACCGTATGTTTATAGGTATGTGTTTTAGCGTTTGTCTTTTAGTTAGCCATTTATACTATTGTTATTATCATCGTAATATGATGTCTTTGTTATTACTGTTATTATTTTAATATAGTGATCTATGATATATCAGTGTTAATATATCGAAGTAATGAACACGAAATGACACGTAGACAGTTTGCTTAACTCTTCGATGTTGATTACTTTTAGATGCTTGAGCTCTATCTGAGCTATAAAATTTCAAGGATAGATTTTTATTTATCTGCACATCTCAACTTCTGCACTGAAGTTTATGAGTGATATTAAACTCTTGGAAAGTTGTAATAGTTACTAGACTCTGAAGTTAATCTAAATATAGAGCATTTGCACTGTGCTAGAGTTTAATTCCATATTAGATCATATTGATACAGTATTATTTACTAGATGACTTTCCGATCACAGTTTACTGCTCATAGTCATATTAAAGTGATCACACAACTTCCTAACTTAGTTTGTATAGTCCTACTGCTTTTTTCTTTTTCCATTTTTATCAGTATTAAGGTTTTCTATATACCTGGAGTTGTTGAATCATTTCTTTTACATATCTTAGTTATTGATTCAATGAACAAAGATTCAGTTATCAAACGTTTCCAACCTATTGTATGATTGTGTTGTTGTATGCATATCAGTGGCCAAATATTTATCTAGATCGCTCATCTTGGTAGGTTGTATCAATCTAGATCTAATGTCATTCAGCAAATAATACTGTATAACTTTAATACATCAGATAAATTAACCTAATATAGAAACCTGAAAGTTGTTTGAGTTTTTGGCTAGCTAGTCAATAGGATTAAAAAGAACGTGAATTGAGTTTAAAGAGTATTGGAGTTCTCAATATAGCTATTTTTCTGGTTGCCATTTGTTGTTGTTTGTGGTCTGTCGTATAATTTAAAGTCTATGTATGGTGTACATCATAAGTGAACGTTATTTGATCAGTTAATAAACCCCTGGAATCGTAAAAAAGCTGCATTATTTTGATTTTAGAATCATAACCAATCTGTACCTCTTACTTTATACAGGATGAGATTTAAGGTTTTCAGATTCGAAATCTTCTTGTTAAGTTAGTTGTGCCATCTTTCAACTTAGATGGATTCATGTCTTCAGTATCACTGGTGGATATGAGTTATCACTTTTTGTCTAACTAACTCCAAAAGACACAAACTAGCGTTCAGAGTTAAAGAGATTCATCTGGAAGTAATTCAAAATTATTCAAATAGTACTGATTTGTGATAAAAGTTATATTCTACGTGAAATATATCTACCGTATAGGTCTTCTCAGAAAGTCAAATTTATGGAGTCTTCATGGTCTCATCACTTCCACAATTTTCACTCAAAAAAGTATCCTACATACATCTCTGATAAACTATATTGCTTCTTATGTAGATTTGTTGGATACTGATGGGATGAATAGTAATTAATTTGAACTTAATAAGTTAGGAATTCTTGTAAACTTGATAATTAATATTTCAAACAATTACGGTTAGACACTTGTAGCTTTTGTTCAAAGGATACACCTATGAATGTTCTATCTTCAATTTCAGGAACTTACAGACATTGAATGGGATAAATCTAATCAATTTCAGTCGACCAATAAAAAAAAGGACTTGTTTTCCAATGTTTTCCCATCATTTTAGTACACTCAGCTGATTTCAAACACCACTCTACGTTGTAACTGACAGTCATTATTCCTTGAACAACAGTTGAATGAGCATAGAAAGCTAGTTTTAGGTTAATAGAATAAAAAGTTCAAATAATTTGAACTTAATTTTTAATCAAGAATTAGTATTGCTTACGAATTGTTACTCACTGAGATTAAGGAGTTGAATTCGTCCACCGAAAGTATTTAGGTTCCAACTAGTTGAGTATAACAAACATAGGTACCAGGTTCTCCTTGGTTTTCACTGTTTGTCTACAGTTTTGTATACTGATTGAATTAAGAATATGTAGAAACAATCAAGAGAGTATAAAGATATCCGTTCAAGGAACTCACATGTTAACAAAGAGACTGCCGTATTCGATCTACTGTAATAATCAACGAGAAATTACATGTATTATTGAATAACAATTTGTTATTTCTTTCTACCAACAGATGTTTGTACAGACTATATAAAGATTAATCCTTTTTCATTTTTTGATCCATTTACTACAATTAGATTTAGTCAACCAGACAATGTGAACAATATTATATTTGAAGCAAATACTTCAGCATCTGTTCCACATCCTCAAGCAGATGTTTATTATTCTAGTCATGCAAAAATGAATCGCAATTCTTTATATCATAACCATAGTCATTATCATATTGAAGAATCACACAAATCACCATCTGTATTACAGTCAGTCGATGATCCAGTCAATACTGTGAATTCACCTGACAATAATTGTTTGAGTGAATCAGCTGACTTTTTATATACATCAGATGATGCAGCTGCAGATGTAGAAGGGGAAGTTGAAGAGGAAGAAGTAGAAGATGATGACGACGTGGAATTGATTGAGTCACAAACCCTAACTAGTGGTAGTGTTGTTGTTGTCTCTCCACCAGTCGATCTCACATCTCGACAACCATCACCATTATCAATGACGACAACAACAATACCATCATTTTTAAGTGGCAGTCCTAATGTCAATACTGTTAACAGTATCAGTACTGGTTGTGGTCATTCAGCTGTAATGTCATCTGAAAGTCATGAAAGGTTGGATAGTGTTAATATTATGTTGACATTGTTGAATAAGAGTGATTCATCTAGTACACTAACATTGACTAGCCATGGATCGAATGATAGTAGTAACATTAGTCGGACTCTTATCAATTGCAGTCGTAATAACACAATAAAATCTCAGCATGACTACCCTCCTCGTCATCAAAAACGATCACAGCAACAACAGTCATCTCAATCTCCAAATCGTTTTCCTGAAATTGTAAATATGCACACCAATCGTCACTATCCAAACGCAGTGAATTTCCCTCCACAAATACGTATGGCTACATTAGATAAATTGATTGAACGTCTCACATATCCAACATATTTTGATACACGTCTAGTAAATTGTTTTCTGTTGGTGTATAGACGTGTTACTACCTCGGAGGAGTTATTGAATTTACTTATTGAGCGATTTCGTATACCTGATCCAGAATTTTTACCAGAAGAATGGAATATTGAAACAGAACATGGTCAATTGGAGTCACCTGCACAACATATGTTGAAAAGATTTCGTTCTGGTTACAAAAAACGTATTCAGTCCAGGTAAGATTTTAAAAAATTATTTAAAGGTGATCGTTATTGTTGTACATGTGGTTTATTCTGCTAAGTCGTCACTAATTGGTTTTAAACTTGTGTGATGCTTAAGTCACCTTACATCTGGGGAACAATTCGGGCTACTGTAGGCTGTATATTCGAATACCCATGGTGATATTAGTGTTTATTTGAGCTGTAAAGTAAGTTGTATACGTCGCGTGATATCTGTTGAGGTCGTCCACTTTATCAATTCTTTTACTCAACTTTGTCACAGGCGTACTCATTGAGATCTAACATTCGTCATCTGACTTTACAGGGATTGGTCTTGTAACAGGTGAGCCCTTGGTCAGCTTTAAATTTGCAGATGATGGAAGATGTTTATAAGGTACAGTCTTCACTTAGTGGCAATTTGAGAATATTTGAAATGTATTTCTCGCAACCAGAACGCAAACTATTGCTGGAGGTCTATTTTACCGTGGTACCTTATCTGGTGATGATAAGGGAAGTGGTTGAGTGCACCACTTCATTTATTTGGGAAGTCGAATTACTCCTACTGGGTTATCGAATGGTATAATCTGGACATGAATAAAAATGTTCCCGTCGGCTTTTATCAAATCACACCACATGTGGGATCGGTGAGATATCCAATTGCCTACAAAGGGTTGAGTTTACTGCACAGCAGTGCACTCTGTCCTACTCTGGTTGCAAAACCTGGCTGTTGAAGATGGAGCTCATAAAAGCGCTTGAGGTATCCAACTACTATCAACTTCATAGCACTGACCGCCTGCTGTCGATCCATTATGTGAACAGTGGTAATGTGTAGAGATGTGAGTTAAAAAGGTAAGTCAGTTGGTTGAGAGGATGTGATCTATTGGTTCAAACACTCGACTTTCAACTATTGGGTCATCGGTTTGAACTCCGCTGTATCTACTTCGGCCTAAGCAAGCGGTTAATGTCCTGCACCCTGACATAGTAAGTGTGATTCATAGCTTATTACATAAATACATGCACCGTGTTGTTGTAATAATTAATTACCTTGAATTCGTCTGGTTAGGTTGTAAACCACTATTGTGATGTATAATGCGAAATAGAATTAGATCAGAAAAAAAGTTTAAGGTAATCAGACTAAAATGTGGTATCGTTTAGTTCATGAAGTCTGTACATTTTGGTCTGGGGCATTTAGCGAGAGATAAGTCTCTAAGGGTATACGGAACATCTGAAGACTTACGTTACTATGACTCGGAATTGAAGGCAGTGATGCAGATGCATCCACACAGTATGTTTAACATTTCGTCATTTCCTTTATTCACTCTTCTGTTATTTCTGCAGTTTTTTACCACTATCAGTTATACTATTTCCATTCATCTGTGTTTCGTACTGCTACCTTATGCCTTAATGTGTTAATGTAAAATATAGCAACTTTAGCTGTGATTCAAGGATTCCAGATTCTATGACTGAGGAGTAAAAACGTATCTTTAATCCCCTAAATACATGTGAAGTTGTGACTGAATCTACTTACTATGGCCTAGATGGTAGTTTTGAAATTCTCGCATATACTGCATGAATCTGTATGTTACTTATATATACATATTTTTTTTCTAACAAGCTTTCATGTTTGTAAATCAGTATACTCATTGTCATAAACTGATAATTGTTTTTGTAATTTGTAATTTTTGTATTCTGTTTTTGTTCCTTCAAAAAATTTTCAGAGTGTTGATGTTCCTATCACGTTGGGTTCGTAGTACACGTTATTATCAAAATGATTTTTTACCGAATCCTGAATTACGTCAAAAACTGTTAGATTTTCTATCCACTATACAGTCAAGGTATTTACTGTCATCCGTGGAACGCATTAAACAACATTTACAGCATCATGCTACTGTTTCTACGATACACTGTCCTGTTGCATCATTTCAGGAAACGATTACCACGATGACTTCACCGACAGCAGCAAAAACATCAATAGAATCCATCCGAGAAAATATTGTTACAAGTGACTCAGTTCCTGTATCACCGGTTGAGTCGAATTTTTCCTGGAAATCAGACAGTATCAGAAATACTGATAATCGGAGTCGTGTTACACTGCATAATGTAAGATTATTACTATTATTCTGTTATTCTCCTTTAAGTCTGATCTGAAAAATTAATGAGTTTCAGTGGAGTATCTATCTTTAAGCTGTTTTCAAATGCTGTGGTCCACTAATACAGTAGGGTAACTGAATAGCGTAGAACAGTGAGCAAATATATAGGGGAGAGTGATATTTGCTTCCGAATTTAACCGCTCTACATTGAATTTCTTCACTTAGAAATCCAGAACACTGAGCAGAAATCACATTGCCTCAAAGATGATCAATGAAAATCGCAACGGTTTGTTTTAACTAGACAGTCGGATTTCTCTGGTCCGTGCCAGCTCTGAGTTAATCTTCACGCGCGAGATAAAGGAAGTACAGCCGCTTGACGCAATGCAGAGCAAGTCCACGTGGGTTGCTAGCCATACGACAGTAACAGGTAAAACCGCCCACGATCGACCCCGGCCAGATCCCAGTAACTTTGCATCAAAGTGCACCGAAGCACATATAGTAGCAATAAAACCAACCCCCAACTCGGTCAAAAACTGACCTCGGCCTGTCTGACATGGTTCTAATTTGCCGAATTCATATATATATACCTATCGGGGACGGATGAAAACCAACACAATGATTTGTACTAGAGGCTGGACACATATGAATGTCCTGAAAATGGGTAAAGAGTAACAAGATTCACTAGTGATGAAGTGTGAGTGGTTTTATTTTTCATGTAGTTCACGACTGGCAGTCAAACAATCAACCTCACTTATCCTTTAGTATGAATTTGTTTGTGAACATTCAACTCAGGAGAACAAAGAAGTCGGTTGTGCTGTGATTAGCTGAGTAGTCGAGTTTCTAGTTGCAACACTGAATGATTCAGGTTCGTATTTCTGAGAGAACATGAGTTGACTGATGATTGTAATTACATCTTGGTGTAAGCGTCAACAAGTACAGAGTTCCAAGGAAGCAGAAACTCGCAGAATTCACAAAGTATAAACACCAACTAGGTTTTAATTTCTTAATTTGAAGATGCAAGGGGTCGGTAAGTGTCAACCGTCCTTACAACTCTGTCTGCACCCATGTTCTCTCAGATAACTGTCCACCTTCCACAGCCTTTACTTTATATCTTCTTTCACTTTTCTTAGTCAATATTCCTACATCAGCTCTCATTTTGTTTTGAATCCTGAAGACCTTGGCAACCATCTGAGCTCATGGAATAGCACCACTGGACTCAAGCGCGGTTATTCAGTTAACCTTACTCAGTCAATGTGGTAAATCCGCGAAAGTCACCCTTCGGGTTTCTGAAGATTCAATTTTTATTTCCCGCTGTCTTCTAGGTGTAGGTATAGCTTCAAGTGCTTAGTTAAAAAGTATACTGCTCTCCTGGATCCCAGTTGACTGTCACCCATGCACTGTTTGAATGAACGGTACAGTGACGACTAAAAAGAATGGTGGGACTCGCCGTTGTCTCCTTGTAATCTCCGCCTAAGCACCCACTAACTGCAGTATTGATGAAGTGAAAGATGAGTTTATTAAAAACTGTGTAACCTCCTGCTGAAAGTCAAGCACTCAGATGTTGTTATCGCAGGGGATTTCAATGCACAATTGCGTAGGCTAAGTCAGACAGAAATGCACGTAGGTGGCACTTTCGAAATCCCAGCCGAATGAACAGACAACGGAGATTGCCTACTTCAACTGTGCTCAAAGAACCATTTATTTCTAACCAGTACAAAGATCAGACATAAAGATAGACATTGTTTGACGTGGCCTCAACCGACCTTAATTCACCGGTGGGAACATTATATTACTATCAGTCATCGCTAGAGAGGGTCAGTGGAAGACTTTTACTCTTTCTGGAGCATGTGCTTAGATAGTGACCACGTGTTGGCTCGGTCGCGTGTATGCCTGCGTCTAATGGACGTAGGAAAACTTTAGCAAAAAGACCATTACGAGTGCATCTTGATAACTAGATCAATAAGACCGCTTTCAATGAGAAACTGGCTTAAGATTCATCGGAAATGAGCAATATCATCCATCCAGAAGCTTGGGATCATCTCCAGTCTGGTGTAAAAGCAGCTTTGAAGACTTTAACAGACTTGGAGAGTGGTTAAAAAGAGCCAGTGGATATCAGCAACTTCTTCTAAATTAATGTAAGCACGTGAACGCATCCTTGTGGGCTCCGAGTACAATGAGAATCGAATGCGACTCAAACGTAGACTGTCAAAGAATCTACGCGATGACTGCGAACATTGGTGAGCAACGAAGGCTAAAGAGTGGAAAAAAGCAGCAGCGATAGGTAACAGTAAATAAATATTCAGACTTATCAATGGTTGGTGAGACGAAACTGGAGAAGGATGGCTTGTGATCCACTCACAGGGGAGACGACTAAAACGATGGGTGGTACACTTCAGGGAACACTTCAGCTGGCTTCCAGTTACTATCCTGTTGCCCACTAGCGAGTAAAATCCTGAATGGAACATTGACATAGGATACCTAACACTTCCAGAAGTCGAGGAAAATGTTCTCAATCTGAAACGAGGGAAGGAAGCAGGGCCAGACGAACTAGTTTCAGAGGTATTTAAGTACGGTGGTCAAGGATTTTCAATCAAGTTAACTCAAGTGTTAACTGGTGTATGAGAGTCAGATACGATCACTCAATCAGTCACTGGTTGTTTCAGTCTTCAATAAAAATGAGAAGTCTTTCTATGGTAATCGCAAAGGAATCAACCTGACAAACATAGTGTCTAAGATTCTAAGTTCTATAATCACTCGACTTCTGAGTGGAGCTTGGGAACAGCGAACCCGAGGAAATCAAACAGGCCTCAGACCTGGCCGTAGGTGTATCGACCAGATATTCATCCTCCGCCAGGTTCTGGAACGCAGGTGCAGTGATAAACATCCGACACTGGCTACATTTTCTGGCCTAAAGCCAGTATTTCACTCCATCGATTAACCGTTCTCACAGTGGTGTCTGTTTAATGAGAGAAGTACCAAATAAGCAATCCACTCTGTTTAAAGTTCTGTACTCAAATACCCATGTTCATGTTAGAGCCTTTGGTTAGTTATCAGGTGAGTCGTATGCGTCGATTGGTGTCCGTCAAGGATATCCACTCTCTGTATTCAACTTTATCATAGACATATTTATGGAAGTTTCCCTCTCGTCTTCTGACTTCACAGGGGTTGATGGAATCACAGAAAAATCGTTGGTAGTCTTAGAATACGCACATGACATTGTCTTGTTAGGTGAAGATGCTGACAAGTTGCAAAGTCTTCTCGATACCTTGGTTGTCGATTTAGGAATGTGTGCAGTGCGTTTTTCACTACCCGAATGAGAATGGTTCTTCCAGAATTGGTCTTCTCTGGTACCCTGTCTAACAATAGGAAGTGAAATAGTTGAATGCGGTGACTACTTTACTTGCCTAGGAAGCTGAATCAGCGACGAGATCGCCACATAGATACAAAAGGCCCGATTGCTTTATACCAACTTGTGCTATTTACGGTGCCACCGCGATATCCGATTGTCTATTAAGGATTGAATGTACTGCGCTGCAGTTTACTCTATTGTGCTGTATGGCTGTGAAACATGGTCATTATAGGTGGAGGACGTGAGGTGACTTCAGGTGTTTGACCACCGTTGCCTTTGTAGCTTAGGTTGTGTGTCATGGTGTCACTACATGAGTAATGCAAAAGTCAGATGTTGAGGCTTAAGAAGTGAAAAGTCAGTTGATCGGTTTTTGAATCTCACTGTACTCTGATGGCTGGGACATATGTTACGTACGCATGCCTAATCGGTATCTGCCTCGTTGTACAATGTTGATCGAAGTAGGTTCAGACTGGAAAATGTTGGACGTGGTAAAACTGAAACAAAGTATTATTGCACGAAGTGTGTCACCGCTGGGCTGGGCCGTGTAAAGAAATGTAGACTTCCTGGTTATTGTCTGGGTGATAAAAGAAACCAGTGATTGGAAACTCGGTGGTATGGTTCAGAATCGATGTTAGTGGCATAAATGTATCCCCACACTACAATACATGGTCCTGCGTTGATTTTAATAATGACGATTATGTTTAACTTCTGAATTTTCCGAAAATCACTGATGGAATATCATCTCTTATTCTTTATTATTCGTCTCATTCCTCATGTATGTAAACTAGGTATCCATCTTTTGTTTACATCCATTTGCAGGATGTTCATATAGAGACTAGTAAAATAGACTTTCTGTCACACTTCACAGTACGCAAGTGAATGGAAAAAGAGTGATATCAAAGTAGACAAAAGTGTATTATAAGAGAAAGAACTTGAAAGTCAAGATGAGTGAAAGTGCCCTAGTTTTAGACGTCAGAGTGAATACATCTACACCATTGTGACCGATTTTCAGCCATTTCACCAAGAGTCTCCTAGTGTTGATTCCTATGATCTCGAGGATCCCACTCAGGTAGTCTACACCTGTCTACACAATTCAGACCACGAGTCTGAGGCTTCATAGTTTGGTGCCATGTTTTGGTCTGACTACCCTGGGTCCTTTGCCAGCTTAGTCAAAAATTGGTCATCAGTGCACATCGAGGTAGATGGTGATTCTGCTCGCGCAATCCATGTCCAAGCCATCTAATTCGATACAGCTTCACATTCTCAATGTTAACGTGCTGGACGCGGAACCTGAAGGTCCTGGGTTCGATCCATGGGGGGGGATCATGGGTGTGCACTCCCAAGGAGTCCCACTCCAGGACGAAACAGCTATTCAGTGATCCCTTGTTTCCAGTGTTATTCCAACTGATGTCAGTCCATGATGAATAACAACCTGAAATCAATACTCAGATTTCTTCTCAGTTTTCGCAGCGGAACAAATGAAGAAAACAAGTCAAAATAGAAAGGTACTGAAACGTTTTATGTCATGACTGTCTGGTTCTGTGGGAAGTAGAAAGTTCGTGTTTGACGATACTGGACAGTACAAAACGCAATCGAAGTCATGATTAGACCTTCCTACCCATCAACATGTGCTTCTATTCATTTCCACCATCGCTGAACTTTCGGCCTATCGTCTGTTAATATAAGAGTAAAACTTGTGCAGTGTTAGAATGTAATTCCATTTTTATTGATTTATTAGATTTATCACACAGTGTAACAGTATTGTTACTGGATTACGTTTCGAACGTAATTTATTGTCCATAGTCATATCAAGATAACTACACAACTTTGAGATATCCTTTATATAGTCCTAATTTCCTCCTCTCTTTGTGAGATGGGCATTAAGATTTTCCGTATATCCGGAACAGGTGCTGAGTCATTCTTATTGCATGTGTTAGGTGTTGATTCGATAAACAAAGATTCAGTTATTAATCTCTCCCTCCACCCTGTTATGTTAGTTTTAGAAAATTTCACTCTGTCCCATCCTGTTGTGTGGTTGTGTGTAATCGCATGCATAGCTATGGCTGAGCTTTTTTCTAAATTGCTACCTTACTAGGATCTACCAATTCTGACCTAGCTAAGTTTTTGTGTTCCGATAGCCTAATTGATCCTGGTCGACTACTTTGACCTATGTATTTGACCTCGTAATCGTCCGAAATGTAATCCAGTAAGCAATACTGTTACACTGTGTGATAAATCTAATAAACCAATAAAAATGGAATACCGTCTGTTCTTATACTGAACAATATAGTGCCTCGAATACATTATGGTTATCACAGTTTATTCTTTAATTTCATCTTATGTTAACACTGGTCAGTTTTTTTGAATGCTTACCTTGTCTGTGCATTATTTTTCGTAGATTCATCCTTACAAATTAGCTGAACAGGTCACACTGTATGAATGGGAGCTGTATCGACGTATACCATTTTGGGAAGTTGAAAGTCGTGATCGTACAGGTGATGCTGTGCCTAATCTGAATAAATCTAAGTCGTTCTCGAATCGTGTAAGTAGTACTACAACATTTATAATTCATTTTCAATATATATATATATATATATATATATATATATATATATATATATATATATATATATATATATATATCGTGTTTCTCAATCTGTTTCTCTTACAAATAACATTATGTATTTATTCAGGAGCCAAATGCAGATTCATAGACTATCTTCCCATTCGAAACCTTGATACATGAAATTTCGTTGGAACCCGAAACTCACAAGTCACGGGTCGGAAGTTGAATGTATAGACCAGTGAGCCACAACCCCTTACAGATAAAACAAAGCAGTCACGTAAGGCATATCATACCTGACAACTTATGTTTTGTGCTTCCTGGCACTCGTTAGCAAGTCGTATCTGCAACCTCTAGGGAACTGATATCCCTCTGAGATTCGAACCCGTGTTAATCGGTGTTTCATTCAGTGAAGTTACCACTAAGCTACTCGGACATTGGCTGATCCCTCGTTTGACAGGACTATATAGGTCTTCAGCTTCCTACTGATTACCTCCAACCAAATAACGCCTATGAAAGTGCTCTGTGGTAGTAGACCTCCTAGCGTGGTGACCACATTGTAAAAAGTGACCAATGGAATTCTGTCAGTTTTCCGGACTAGATAGTATGAATTTTTTTACTCTCCAGCGACTAATCAGTATGTAGTAATCTAGTCTTCGACATCAATGCCTCTTAGTTGATTATCTAATCAGCCATGGTCTCATATACAATCGTATAGTTTGTTCAGCCAGCTTAGAAGTAATTTCGTTCATAGTAGATTATACTCTATTGTGTTTACGTTTCCTGAGTCATACTATTTATATATTTATATATTTCACGTATTCCAAAGTGTTCATGATGTCCTAAATTCATATATTTGCTAACTAAACAAGTATTGAATCATTATTCGGAATTATACCGTTAACCATTCTATGGATAGTTTTGCAAATCTATAAATATTCACAACTAGACGTTTTCATATAACTTAGAAATCATACTTTTATACTTGTAGTACAACAAATCACGTTTTTGTCATACGATGTGTTAACCAAAGTTCATTGAAACATACTCTTTATATACTGTCACGTGTAGTGTAGATTCAAAATTCAATTACTCCCTAGAATATATGAATATCTGTAGCTCTCAAGCCTGATCATTCAGTAGTTATAGGTGAGAATTCACGCTACCATTTTTGTTGTAGACATAAGGGCATTGGTTTTGTTGGTCTTCAGGTAATAATTCTAACTTACAGTTAAGCACATCTTTGTGTGTATGTATGTCTAATTTTAGTTCAGTTTTTCAGGTCTTCCTCGACAATACATCATTTTTCTGTTTTTAGTATAAAAGGGCGAACTTAAGACACCTTATTATTGAATGTCTGTCGATATGAGCTAGATGCTTCTTTCTGGTTACATCATCATACTACCTTATCAATTCTAACATTTAACATATGGTTTTACTTGTTGGCCATATCTGGATAAATATTGTAGGTGAAACAATAAATATTCAGTGATACAACTCAGTAACCAAGTTAAAGTTCGTGAACTAGGCAATGAATCAAAGTTACTTGCTCAACTCCATCGACTGAGTGGCTTTCAAACTTATTATCTATCGTCAGCGGTCGAAGCTCCATAAACGCTTATGATAATTACGTGACCACTAAATCTTCGATTTATCTCAGTCATACAACTCACTCGGTGCCTAAATACATTGAAATTATAGAAAATACTTTTAACCTAGATGGATAATCGTTTTATTGCGTTCTGTTCTCTGGATTCGTTAGTCGTGAAGCTTTTGTTGTCTTTCTAAACAAAATCATATGCACCAAATTCTATATGAAGTGGGCTACCGAAATTTCCCCGTGAATGGTTCAGTAGTTTGCTCTGACGCAGTGGTTTGCGATTGATAGTTCCATTTGATTGTTGTATCGGTGACTGCACAGATTTTCCTATCGGCTGCTTTATCTGATCTCTGACTTTATAGTTGCTTATCAAGTTTCATATTGGTTGGTGGGTTGGGTGTGTCTCTATACACCTATTGATTGGTCCCAATACCAAGTTCCTAAAACCCTGTGGTTTTTTCCTGTTTTCTCTGTTTAAAACTAAATTTTCAAAGTCGAAACTAAATCCAGACTTATCCATATGCACTGATTTACGTGATGAAATGTCGTGTTGTTTGGTTTCTAACTGCCTTTCATATAAAGAGAGTCGAAGGTGCCCTATTGTGTTATAACCTGTACAGTTAACGATAAAACAACAAAAGGAAGCAACCAATCATAAGCTGCTTCCTTACGATAGGTTACTGAATCACTTACGGAGAAATATAGACAGCTGATTTCATATTGAAGTTAGTACTGGTGATATATCAGTGAAACATTCATGATTAAATCGTCCTGTTCATACGTTTTAACACCACCATACCATGTGTCTATTTCTATCAGTATCTGCTTGTGAGCTGTTGCAACGTGCACTGGTGCTATTTGACATGATTCACCTAGTAGTAACTATTGTCTACTTATATTTCTGCAAAACTCATTAACTGTTCAGCTAATTCCATAGCAATATTTTAACAAACGCTTATAAGTTTATATTTTAGGTAGTTTCAGTCAGAAAAACAAACAAAAGTATTATCCTGTTAATGGACACTATGTATGTATATGGTCACTATTATCGCGTCTAGTCATTATTATTATTTATTAGGATACAAACATGGTATAGAAGGAGCATCAAGAAATGCACCACACAACATAATGTAACACCATTATGAATACGTAAAGCGAAGGAAAGTGGATAAATAATAAATAAAACACATTAAGAATAGAATGGTTAGAAGGGCAGTTCAGTAAGACACATTCAAAACGAAACATTCATCAATTTTCAGCAACACAAGATAGAAGGAAGCTACAACATGACCGCCACTGGTTTCGATTCTGAACCATATGTGATAACATTTGAAGCCACCGAGTGTCGTGATCTCTCGGACTCCACTCACAGAGTTTGATGCACAAACAAGGTGCTAACCCGACACAACTATCCTTCATCCCACAGACCCACATCATACACTGACCACCCCTTCACTTCTTCTATCCAGTCCTAGGGTTGGCAAACAATAAACTGTGTGGAAGCCATTCGGACGACATGCGTAGCACATGTCCAATCCACCGAACCCGATGTTTCCAGATGACTTCACTTATTGAATGACTAACTCCATCATGCCCAAACACACACTGTCGTACCTCAGAATTACTTAAATGGTGTTGCCATCGGATACGAGCAATGCTATGGAGACAACGATGATCGAACACACAGAGTTATCGCACACCCACAGCTGAGAGACCAAGTTTCACAGGTGTAGAGCAGAACTGCTCACAGTGAAGCGTAGTAAACCCGACCAATCACGGTCAAATTAACGTTGTGATGGTGCCAGAGGTGGCGCAGATTGATGTATGCCACTATAGCTTTTGGTATGAGGTTGGAAATTTCACCACTCGTACCTCTGCCAGCACTCACACAACCCAGATTCACGAACTTTTCGACTACTTTCAACGGCTCACCACCAAGGGTGAGTGCAAGCAAAGGCTCCTGTCAATCTTGTAAAAGGAATTTGCACTTCTGTGATGCAAATCACATACCATATTTACTTAGTCGTAAGCACTGGTCAACTTCTATTGGTCGAATAATGTTTTGCATACCCTGACTGCTAGCCCATTGGATTTCTACCATTTGCCTCCAGTCGAAGTATGTATTTGTTTATGTCTACTGCTATGTATTCTGTCTTCACAAACTGTATCCCTGAAATCTGAACAGCATGGAAATACTAATTATAACAGAATTTTATGCATTCATTTAATCATTTTAAGGAATATCTTCAACCGGAATGCAAATAAAATCATGATTACGCAACCTTGTCCATTTGACAACAGGAAATTATAGTTGTAAAGAGAAACCGACGTTACACTATCGCGTGATTAATATCAGCGGAAATAAACACTTCAGCTCAAAGTGTTTAAAAATCGTCATTGGTTGCCAATAATCAATTGCAATGTAGTTTTCCCGGTTGGAGTCCGCATGACAACCGAAATCGGCGGTTAGAGACTAGGTGATGTCTTAATCGTTGTCAATGGGTTAGCTGTATCTATACATCTTTTCAACATTGTTGAATGTCATTATTTTTTTTTGATTACTTTTTATCCCTTTCTACGACGTTCTACTACTTTGACTGCTTTCCACTACATTTCCCTGTCTCTCATCTCGGTACCACGCGTCTTAGTTCACTGATATAACAAGTAGCAACATGAACCGTTACTCATTAATGCCAGGTCCAAGTTGATGCTAACTGATTGTCTGAATCGGTTATCAATCATCAAAATATGGAGACATTAGTTTAATATTTATCACGTGGAAAGCTAAACCAACCTGAAGCTTTCACTTTGGTTCGCATTTTTTGACTTATCGAGTCTGTTAAATTTGCACATTAATGATTCCTTGAATTTGAAAGTATTTAATATCTTCTTGAAAATGTGGTTCAGTAGTAGATTCTAATGTGGTGTCAACTATTCAGTCATGAGCTTCACCTGATTCGATTTTCGTTGTAAATTATTGCTGCTGGCTATATATATAACTCATAGTTTGTTGTACAAATGTCTACGACATGAATGAGTTGAACGTTTTATGCATATTAAATACAAGTTGTATCACTTTCTTCATTTTTTTTTCTCTTACCCTCCAACCGTTAATAGTTTCGCAATTGGTTAGTTTATTCTGTGCTAAGTGAATCAAATCCAGATGATCGAGTGTCTGGAATTCAACGTGTCATCGACTTAATGTTAATCATGGAACACATGAATAACTTACAAGGTAGTCAAGAAGCTAAATCTGCTTTGATTAGTGCAGCTGTATACCGTTTAAGGAAGTCATTTCAAGTAAGATATAACATATATATATATATATATATATATATATATATATATATATATATATATATATATATAATTGTTTTCTAAGCGTTATCGATTTCCTCTTTTTTTTTTTCTTTTTTTTACTTCTCATAAACTCTGCAGTTATCAGTTGATTGTTTTTCATTACTAGACCGTCTAAGCTGGCATTCTTTATTGTTATGGTTGTCAGTAGACTCATTTCCTTCGATAGAAGTGTATAATTCGCACACTGTCTATGAAATTAAATTAGCTATCCCGCTACCCCCTCTCTAATTGACGTAATACATTATGCTCTCTGTTCTTCGTGAAGTCAATAGTCATTTGTATTAGAATTACTCAAAGACAATTCTGGAGTCAAGTTTTATGGTTTCAGAGTTGAAAATCAAAATTCACTCAGTTATGTTGCTCATATTTGTGCAGTAGTTAAATGAACCACACCTAGTATGTAACGGCTAGTGATACTACCTAGCTGCTCAAGCCTGGGCAGATGTAGCGGTGTTCGAATCCTTGACTCATTCGTTAAAGTCAACTTCCTATGCCAACTTCATCCCACTCCATCTCTCATGGGGGAGACAAATATCTTTCGGCAGTGAAGTCATAGATGTTATTGTCAGCGTAATGGAGTATGAGTGTACTATATTTTCAACACTTATTAAAACAAAGGAATTTCGCTGAGGATTAGGTTTGGCTTTATGAAATGAGTGTTACTGTATCTACTGAAGGAAAGGTGTGTCTGTAGCTTTTCCGATCTGATTTCATTCATCGTGTATCTCTTGATCGATTTTAATATTTCAGTATCCATTGGGGTAGTACTAAAAATACTACAGTAGCTTTTTCACTACTCATGAAAAAGTTTTTTCTACCGTGAAGTTTTATGAGGGTAAATACTTACATGAAAGTGGGCGTTCAGTAGGATGGTTTTTCTACTCCAGTTCAAACTTTTTTGAATTCAACTGATTATGCAGAATGAGGATTTTAGTTTATGATTTCAATTTTATTTCCGCGACATATTCGTTTCTAGACTCTAACGTCACATTATCGTTCGTATGTAACAGAACCATCATGTGAGGAATATGAGGTTTGGCATAAACTAAGCACACCAGTTGATGAAGATTCAAAGATTTTGCCAAGTGAACTTGCTTTCCCATGCATTCTGCATGACTTATCACCATTTTGTCTATACGGTTTTTTCATGGAATAAAACTAGACAGAGAAAGCTGCCTATGGCTAGATGTAGAAATGGCACAAATTTATGACGTCTCTAACTTTTGACGTAAGCGATTTAAGGAGCTGTAGGTATCTGGCTAAGGTCCACAAGATGACAGTGATGAATCGTTGGAGACTTGAGGTTATGATTCAAAATCTGTCATAATGCCGCATATTTATACACTCTTTGTCGTCGTTTAAATTTTGCGTATTTCGTTTAATCTTCATTCATTTCTTCTGTTTTGTTCCATATACTTTTGACTCATTCCATATCATTCTTTTAATATCCAATTCTTCTTCTCATGCTACTTTTAAGTGTAGCAGTGTGAATTAATGTGCTTTTGTGTCAGATTTTCTTGTTGCTTTATTTTCTGTCAGTCAGTAATTCTGAGACATCAGAAGTAGAGACTTCCTAGTGAACTTGATGTGAATAAATTACCTCATTTTTCGATAAAGCTGGTTTGGCACTTAAAACAGTTAGTTCGTTTTAGAAATTGTACTCATCTTCACTTTTGATATATCATTTTTATGTGTACATTAGATTAAAGCGATTTCATGACAGCTTAAGTTTATTCATCACCTTAATTGTGCCCTTTACTGATATACTTTTAAGAACCTTTGAACAACATACTTTTAATTCCACTTCAATTATCACTCGACTCCCCAGAAAACTAAAAGACGATAAGATAACCGTTCTTTGCAAAGTCGACTATGTAAAAAATACCGTACTATGGGCGTGTGTATTTACATATAATTTTAAGGTTTCCAGAGTATTCTAGTGGGCTGTTACTGGTTTTTGTGAACTTATCCTATCAGACAACCAGATGCATAGTCATGTATTTTTCTGCAAACCTCTGAGTAATTAGATTGATCCAGAATGTTTTCAACGGTTTTTAACTTCCCTGCTTATCTAGGTGGTGTATTTTGTGTGTATTACTACAGCTTGATTACTGATTTCAACAGACTGTGCAACTAAAGGATTTTAAAACATGAGATCAGTTTGTTATTAATGCTCTAACTTCTCTTTGTTTATTCTACTGGAGATAACCGATTTTCCTCAGTTGGCTTATAAACTCAATCTTCGAGCACTGTCTTATTAATTACCTTGAACTTCATTTTAATAGGATTTGTTTGGTGGTGTCTATCGACAAAATCAAGCGCCGACGTTGCGTTCTTATATAGAACTTTACTAGTGGATTAATTCACATCGAAAAAAATCGAAATGCACTCAACAACCTTGTACACATTCGTGCAGTAGGCAATGATCTACACCTATTGCATAAGGTCTAGTGATACTATCTGTCTACTCAAACCTTTATAGATGAAATGGTGTTAAAACCCGTAACCCATTGGTTGAAAGTCATCTTTTTAAACCAATGAGCCACAGTCCTACATTAATTGACATCGGTGTTGGTGTTTGTACTGTGATAGAACTATAATACATATTTCTCCAAGTTTTTCCATCACAATGTATTAGTCTTGTAAACACATTACATCAATATGTGAAACGAAACTACTTCGACCTATTCTCAGTGGAAAAAAATATCACTCGTTAAGGTTAAGGTTCACTCAACTGTCATATGAAAAGAATCATATGTGACCCACCAAAAGCACCATATTCTGACTTTCTTCATCTTACCTATATTAATAAATGAAAGTCGATTTTTCAAACTGTTACATCAGTGTTTTTTTGTTGTTATACGTTTTATTAGTTGCCTCTTATTTGAATGACTAATTTTGATTAAAAACGACATTTACAGGTTATTCGTCGAATGCGACACTATCGTGACACAGTTGATCGTTTAAGACGAGAAGGTGTCACTAGCCCTAAACATCAAAGAACTTGTTCTTCACCATCATCATCATCTTCTGCTTCACTTCAAACCAATTCTATAACAGATCAGAATATCTCAGGAAATAATTCCACTAATAATATCAACAATATTAATAATAATAACAGCAATACCAGTGGAAACAATAGTAATAGTAATAGTAGTAACAATCCTTTTTCTGGTTTCGGTTTGCCATTCTCAACACGAGCAAGTAAATCACATGAACGTCGTATACGTGTACTAGAGAAACAACACGCCTCTGGTGAATTATGCCATCCATGTGTACCATTTATAGCTGCTGGTGTAATGACACGCTTGATACACTTAGATCTACGACATCCAGATACAATTGTTAATAATGCTGGAAATGTTATGATTAATTGTTGGAAACATCGTCAGTTGGCTGAAATTGTCGAACGTTATTTAGCTTTTCAACGTATTCCTTATACATATGATGTAGATAATGAAGTTCGTGTAAGTTTCTCTTTTTTATATAAAAGAAAAAAAGGCATTTATTACCTGGATCTTATTTTTTGTTTCTGTCATTAAAGTGTTGTAAGTGTAGCGTTTTGTGTTTATTATTCAAATCTATTAATATTTTTGTCATCTTCTAAGCATTGATTAATATAAGGGTAGAATTTGGCCACTACTGTAGAAATTCATTCCATTTTAGTTGTTTCATTATACATATCACAAAATGGAACAAAAATGTTCTTTACTGGATGATAATAATGACCTTGGTTGTATTGTGTTTTCTAAGCTGGGTTATTTAATCGTGAAGCTTTTATCATCCTTCTAGACGACATCATCAGCACCAACTTCAGTATGACCATAATGTTTCATTGTGTAGCACACAGGAGAAGAACTAAAATATAATTTCATAACTCTTTGTGAGCTGTCGTCAAATGTGGCAACTTAAACTGATACATTTATGTGCAACGTTTCATTTTATCTATCTCTCGGTTTCGTGTATAGTTCATATTTTAAGTAGCATAAGAAGCACGACTCCATTTCACATCACTTGATTTGTCTGTTGATTTCAGATATGTACGAGAATATAGACCTCCTGGAAACTTGAAATCTGCTGAACAACCTTGTGCAGGTTCACACAGCAGACGATGGGTTGAAGGTGTATGGTACTACCTCGCTGCCCAAACCTCGATCGGTGGAGTTGCGTTCGGACCTGTAACCCATAGGTTGGAAATCGAGTTTGTAAACCAATGAGCCATAGCTCCACTTATATAGACTTCCTGATTGCAGTCTGAATGACAGCTAAGATCGGTTATTGGAGAATGTAGACAATGTGGCTCAAAATCTATCTCAGGGGCACAGATGCCTACATGTCTTCATTTTAGTCGTCTTATCGAATTCCATTTTTTGTTTTACCCCCTCTATTATTATAACTTCCTACTACTTGTGATTACTTTCTTCTTTATATCTTTATGTCTTATCTTGGTACCTTTTTCTTTGATGTGTTAAAGTGAGGTTCAGCAATTTGTACCACTATGTAGTAATGCCAAGTCATCTGTTGATTTTTGCTGAGTGACTACGAATCGTCTTTCAAGCAGTAGCACTTCAGTGATATAAAGTAGTCTGAATAGGATGTGAAGCTCAATTCTATAGAGCAAGTTGATTGTTATAACTTTGAATAAAGCATGGAAATCTTCATGCAATAATCACAAAATAATGAGAATGGAAAACAGTTTTTAAAAAATTCTGAGAATTGGCTGTCGATATAACGCATTATCATCTGATGGGTTTTGGAGCACATGTGTATTTCACTGACCTTGTTCTTCGGTCTGAAGACAATACTTATCACCAACAACTGAAAGACTTGATCACACTTTGTTTCACTATGGAAACTATAAGGTAATTAGGTGAAATTAATGCGGGGTTTTATATTTGGACTGCTGTTTTTAAGCTCATTTTCCTAAGAAAAATAATGGTTTCACCGACGAGTTTCCTTCTTGCTATAGGCATCTTTACTCCCCAAGTATCGACTTCTATGAAAAAAATCTCACTTATCTGTATATAGTACACTAGTCATATCATCAATAACCACTGGCTCCGTAAAAATGCTTCATCTTGTAAACATCATTAAGGATAAATCTTATCTTAACCAATGCCAGTGATATTTTTGAACTGGTCATCATCTGCTATGGGCTTATGAAGTCAACTGGGTAAAAACTGCATCATTCCTAGCGGTGAATTCACAAGTCAATTTTTGACAACTGCTGCTTGGCCAAGATATGCCTTTGTTTATTAAACGTTTAATTATGCCTTATGGCAGAGCGTTCTTTCTCTGTTACATAGTCGTATGACTTGGTTATTAAACATAAACACCATGAATGAGAGCTACAACTATTTTATGACTGGTGCATACATACCAACTGGTGAGTTGAAAGTAAAATATTCAGGATAGAGGCGGAGGTAGAGCGCTTGCAGACATGTAGATAAATCGTTTGACGATAGGATGGTCAACTCCCATAGAAAGCAGATGATTAAAAAAATAATTTACATGCTCGAAGATCACGTTCTGTAGTACAATATTGTCAATGGTTTTGGCAGGTATGTGGAGTTTACAAGAGCTCAGATTATAAAGAATGAAATATGGTAGTGAAGGAAAAGGGCAAAAGGTGAATCGCAGAAGGATAGTTTATCATAACAATTTGTACGTTACTGGTAAAATGTTATAACCTTCCACAAAGATATCAACTTGGACAAAATGTTCAAGTTCATCTTCTACCTCGTCATGCTATTGATACAGCCACATCATCTTTCGCGCTTCTCTGGACATAATACGTATCCATCGCTTGTAATTGTATATGCCTTCTTCCGACCTTTCAACATATACTAATCATATGCATTCTTATCAGTAGCACCCACTACAGTAGTAGTTATTCAGTTCATTGATTTTTGTCTTAAGCTACACAATAGTGAATGTAGTCCGCTGATAGAGCTATCCAGATATTAGAGGTTGACAGTTGAAAACGATAAATGATGACACGAATCAAATCGATTTAGGTTTTACCCCTACTTAACTGTCAATTTACCAACAGCTCTTAAGTAAAAGTATTATTTCCATCCGTATTATTCCCATCCATTTTCTTTATTTTTTTACTAATAGGAGTTTTTAGAACATGTTGATCCATTGAAAATGGCTGGTGTTACATCTGAAGCAGAATTCGAGAGAAAAATGTATGAATTATCTGAATCTTATGAACCAAGAGAATCTGAACCGTTAAATGAGCCGATTATACCTGAGGTATTTCTTTTGTCTACAATTCGTACTTCACTACTTCTTATAAACTGTGTTTTTAAAGAAAAATAACATCCCTCATATTATATTATTGACAAATTAGCGAGATTTCACATTTTCTTTCCATCATCTTTCATTGATAATTATGCAAGAAACAGTCGAGAAGATTACTATCAATCGGTCATCATTCATATCAATCATCAGGAAGCTTCGATAGGGTGATATAGGGGGGTGATAGGGGTGATATAAATGTGGAATAAATAATATTTCATCTATGTATGATGTTAACTGGATTTCGTTTCTAGAATTATTCATTGAAAAAACCTAATCAGTTATCTCCCTGACATATAATTACTGAAGCAGATTTAAAAAACCGATATACCAAGTGATATACGTTGCATTTAACGAGTAATGCAACTATCTGATATTGGGATTGACATTGAAAATCGGATGAAATTCCTATAGTAACCGGAGCTCAGTAGTGTGGTTCCTAACTACTCATGGTAACCAGTATCATATTTTCTTTCATTGTCCACTTTCACCAATTTAACAGACAGATCACTCATTTATCTTCTTAACAGCATAGTTTTCACTGGCCATCTTGTTGGCACCACAGTCCGCATGTTAGACATAATTACTAATTGTGCAGCTTTTGATTAATTTGCAGTAATGCTCATCTTCTTTACACAGGGATCACTTTTATGTTTCCCCTCTCCAAAAAGGGATTACTAGTGAACAGTATTTATCACTCAGCTAACCAAATAAATTAGTGATAAACCCATCCGATTCTTAGTGTAAACGAGATAACACTCATTTTGCATTTTCTTCTCTATTGGTTTTTTTTCTGTGTCAGAGGACGTTTTGGAGTCGGTTTGTATGTCGTCAGCGGTCTAACTTTACAAAGAAGTGAGATAGCTTGATTTTCACCAGCCTGTACAACTGAAAGTCTTATTGGGTTTCGACATGATTGGTCAAGCTAGAAACATTTTGGTGTGGTTAAAATCTAATTGCTATGATGTTTGGCTTTGAGCTTGCATCAACCTTATCGCTATGTTATTCGTTACATGATAGTTAAATGACAAAAATTAATGTGTTGGGTATTTTAAATGACAGCCTGAATCACATAAAGATTCAGGCCAGCGATCTGAGTTATAAGAACGTTGTACATTATACTGAATAAATGCTTTTTTGACTTCTCTATCATTTCGTTTCAAACTTTCCTGTTCTTGATTCGAGATGAATGCATCTACACAACTCGTAAGCCTTACATAGTTTTGTGTCGTGGGCAGTGAACTGCACTTGACATGTAGAAGCTTATCAAACTATTTAGTTGCTTAGGTTGAAGTAATAGTGGAGTAATGATGATACCTCGGATCCAAATATAATATGGGTTTAATAATGTAGGCTATTGATCTTTCTTCTAAAGAATGGGATTTTTCATTCTAGTAGGTAACATGAAGTTCATTCTAAAAAATTATTCTAAACTGTAGTGCTATTCAATAACTTATAAACATGCTGTGAATCTTAGTTGTTGGATATGATGACCCAGTTTGTTTGTAAATAGACAAATATATTATTGCTGGTCCTCACTTTGATCTTAAATGTGGTAATTGATGTAATCTTTGAAAATTGCAATCCTACTCTTCTTTGTAATCATATATTCAAAATCAGTCTGTACTTGATTATTCTTGACGTTTAACATTCTTCACTGTGATTGAATAATTCTTAATTGCCTCAAGGTCATCCAGGTGGTCAGATTACTTGCTTTTAAAGTGCAAATCTACTGATTGTTTGAACTTAATTGTGTGAGTGTGTTATCGGAAGATTTTGTTTGTTTTGAAACGTCTATAAAAGAAATTAACCTAAAAATCTTTTGATTTCAGTCAGTGTACTCTTTATCTACAGGGTTTGTCTAGACTGGCATTGATTGAGTTATTTTTTTTACCTTTGTCATAGATGTACAATGTAGATAATTATTTGTTTTTATTTACTCTTACTGAATCAATCTTTATTTTCCAGTTTTGCTTGAATTTTATTATTTTCAGCTTGTCTATATATAGACATCAAAAACACTGAACCTCATGTGACTGTATTTCTTTCGAGTTTACCGCACTTCATTATACAATAAATTGTAACGCATATTAACAAAATGAATACAAGTGAATGCATCTTCACACAACTATTCATTGGAACCATACCTGCTAGAGACCTCAACTGTTTATCTTGCCTAACTGAAGTGACGAAGTGCAATAAGACATAGACGATAACGATACTCAATCTAGTAATACATTAGAACTGAGTGGCAATGTGACTATCTCGCCTCAGCACCTTATTCTTCACTGACTCACACAAATATCAAAAGACAAAGATTGACCTGTGAATACAAAGACACCTTAGTTCATAAACTGTAGCATATATATATATATATATATATATATATATAATTCTTATGCACATAAAATGCTCTAGGCCAAAGATAAAATAACACAATCCTTTTGGATACATCACATACGTAATCGTCCAATAAGGTCATTTTGTCCATATATATATATATATATATATATATATATATATATATATATATATATATATATGGACAAAATGACCTTATTGGACGATTACGTATGTGATGTATCCAAAAGGATTGTGTTATTTTATCTTTGGCCTAGAGCATTTTATGTGCATAAGAATTATATATATATATATATATATATATATATATATATATATATATATATATATGCTACAGTTTATGAACTAAGGTGTCTTTGTATTCACAGGTCAATCTTTGTCTTTTGATATTTGTGTGAGTCAGTGAAGAATATATATATATATATATATATATATATATATATATATATATATATATATATATATATATATATATCAAAATCTGAAACAAAAACACTACCCCAACAGCCAATGACTTAAAATGTTGATTTCCATTTTCGGCCGCTTCCTATCATTAACAGTAATGGGAGTAATGCATTTTAGAGATGAATGGGGATTTTAATACAGAAGTAGTATTCATCACAGACTGATATCAGATGAGGAACCATTAAAAACGCGGGAGCAACTGGTCTAATGAGAAGCCGTGAGCTGTTGGCTCAGCCAGTCGGAAGAGAAGCGAATGCCATCTGAGGACCTCGGGTGATAGTGATAGTCGCGCTATATCGTGAATTGACAGAGGTTGGGAAATGAACCACCGAAAACCGACCCACTGGCTGAATGGTTAATGTGTTCACCGGGAAACCTGAAGGTCCTGCGATTGAACCCTGGTGGCATCGTGGGTGCGTACTACTGAGGAGTCTGGTGTTAGGACGAAACAGCTGTCAAGTGCTTCCAGGTTCTCAATGGCTTCTCAACTGATATCACTCTGTGATGAATACTACCTCTAAATATTAATAGTAATAATAAGCGGTTTATTCCAAACAACATGTGTGTTACCTTGCGGATTCCTATCACAAAAATTTAACCTTCTTACACAACTCAGATAAACTATCACTGATTTTTGTATGCTCTACTGACTGATAAGTGCAGTTGTATGCAGGTAACTACTCTGGCTAACCTGTTTGAAAGTGATGTAAATATCAAATATCGGTTTGGTTTGTTTTGAACCGGGCTCATCAACGTGTACGCATAGTGATTCAGTTCACATCATAAACTAAGTGGACTGATGGTAAATGGAATGAAATCAGGTCTTTGTGTAATTCACATTTTGAAGTGGAAATGATATAAGTAGATGAAAATTAATAATGGTGTCAACACTGTTAGCCTGCCACAACACATACTATCGATAAGTTTGGCGTTCTGAGCTGAATCATCTCAGACGTATTGTTGATGATGTTGGGCCTAAACGGAAGTAACGGCGTTTAGTTTTTTTAAATCACCTTGATCTGACTAGCCTCAGGTGTTTACAACTATTCATGTTGCTTTTAACTGTGTATGTTTCAAAAAGTCGATTTATTCAGAGGTTTCTTATTGAAATACTAGCTCATAAAATTAAACACAGACAAATAAATAATTACTAAGTTACTAGTGAGGTTTAGATGTGGATACAACTCACTTGATTAGATATTGGAAGTTATCATAACAATTGTGGAAACGACGAGATTTCCGCATGTGTATCAAGCGAAGAGCATATAACATAATAGGGCTCCATTTTTCTGTAAATGGTGGTAAAATATGTTTGGCGACAATGAACTTTGTACCAGTGCTTTGTATCGCGCTCGTATTTGTTTGAATCATTATAATCATTTCGATTATCTGAGTTAGCCGTAGTTTGGGAGATCAGTATTGGTACTGGGTGATGAATGAACGTGAAATAAAAATTGGGACCGCGGCCAATCATTACCTAGTACCAATACTAATCTCCCAAACAACGGCTATCTCAGATAATCAAAATGATAATCAATATGATGCTGTACCTCTCTAATTCAGTTAGATTTGGACTGGAATGAGAAGTCCTGACTAGCTAGCTAGTGTGAATACGATCACATGGTAGTCAGGAAAAACCCTTAATGACTGAAATGAAAATCTGGTCAGCAGTCAGACCTCGTAGCTCAGTTGGTAGAGCACCGGGCCGAAAACCCGAGGGTCGCTTGTTCGAATACAGCCGTGGTCTAGACTTTCCTTTCACCTTCAGTCATCACCCTGTATCGGAATAATCATTGTCTATAACATCTTAGGCAAGTATATGTTTACCAAATATACTCTTTGCATAAATCCTTTCATTATTCGGTTCCTTCTTCCGATGTGAACTTTTGTTATTTCTTGATAAATTTTTCTTCTTTCTAGGAGCGTCATATGACCAAAGAAGAAATCCAGGCTGCACAGTTACTCAGTAATTCCTCCTTGAAAGAACGTATGTCTGTACAGTCTATGGCTCAATTTAGTAACTTGCTCAACTCACAACATAATAATAACAATAGTGGTAATAATAGTAACAATAAATCTCCATCCTTATCATTATTATCTCCATCAACATTAATCAGTCCTTCTATTAGTACAAATGAACCTAAAAATTCCAGTAAAAAGTCTGGTCTCAATCTACCCTCATCACTGATTGGCATAGGCAATGATAAACATATTCAAAGTGAAGTACAAGAACGGAAATATTTACGAATTCCACCTAATCCGTTATCGCTATCTGCAAATACTACCTCAGGCACACTTGCACTAGGTAAACAATCTTATAAAAGTGTAACCTATTATATATTATTATAAAAATCTTATTAAAAAACAAGTATAGCCTGATGTTGTTGACCAACTCCTGAGTATATATCACAGTATTCAAATATTTGATTTAGACGTTTAGATTTGATAGAGGTTTTCTGTCTAAGTCATATAATCTTTAGCGGATCTGTGATCCATTGGTCTTGGCACTCGGCTTCCAACCAGTATTTGACCATGAGTTCCCATCCCGTTCCACCTACCTAGGTTTGAACAGCCAAGTGCCTAATATACAAACATTCACGTGGCTGCTGTGAGTGCATTTCGATATACTAAATATAAATATACAAGTCTAAGGGGACCGTGAAATTTATAAGTGATATGTAAATGGGTCATACTGTTTGATTAAGATGTCGGAAATTTTCAATATTATTATTACTATTATGTGGTTGGTTGTGGCTAGTAGAAGAATTCAGGAGGCGCGTTCTCGTCCTACTTGGGACTTGCCAACTGGATGTACCTGCACTCCGGTGATGTTGTCCCCACTGGGACTCGAACCTTGTACCCATCTCTTCGAACGCTAAAGCGTTATCCACTGTGCCATGGGGGGACGATAGCCACTTCTTGTACAAGGGGTAGTATTCATTACTATTTATTGACACACTTGTTATTCTCCGTTACTTTGGTGGATCGAGTTGTTCGACTTCTGTTGGCATATGAGCTCCTATATGGAGGTCGAACAACTCGATCCAACGAAACAACGAAGAATAACATGTATGTCAATAAACAGTTATCATTATATTGTTATATAGAAATGGGAAATCAGAAAGTCACTGCATATTTTACTGGCGATTCTGGGCTTAGATTTTCTGATGGCATTTTTTTAACTGTCTAATGCAGGGTATATTTTGAAATATAAGAGGTTGCCAGAAGGCGAAGTGATAAAAGGTCGACATACATATATTTATCTTTTATCGATATCTAAGAGAAATGGGTACCTGGAAAAAAGTGTGAACAACATGATTTTAACATTTCGCTATAAAGTTTTACACAGTTTTTCAGTTATAATCTTATATCGTAATTGTTATCGCATATTTTTATTTCAATCATTTCCACTTTCGTTTGATTGGTTGTTAAGAATGAGATGACTGAACTTATCCAGTTCATGTACCTTTCAATGAACCCGGTCTAATATGATCTTTACAATTTTAAATTTAGCTGCTTGATCTAACTAATTGGTATTAGTGACGCTAACCACTTATAAATTAATCAAATAGTTTTTATGACACAATAAAATATTAATCATGTTTATCAACTACTCTCGTCTTATCTTGGTATCATTAGCATATATTTTTTTCTTGATTTTTTTCGAGGTCCCAAACATCAACACAGTATGTCTGACAGTCATGTTATTTCTTCAGTGATTACGCCTTGTCATCATGCAACTAATTCAGTTATTGGAGTTACAACAACTTATTCCGCAGGATTATCTCCGCCATCAACTCCCCACTCCACCAATTGTGGACATTCTCAGCATCCACCACCACCATTACCACCGAGACAACGACGCCAGAGTTGTAATTGTTCTAGATATGTTAAAACTCCAAATTCTGTCTCTGCTAATACTTGTGCTTCTCATAGAAATCCTACTCCCCCTCCTCCTCCCCAACCTCATTCACCGAATGCCACACGTTCCCCTTTTTTGTCTTCAGCTACTGATAGTTGTAGTTGTTGTTTTCCTCCACCTCTACCTCCAAAACCATCCAGTTCCAATCGCTCAGTAGTAGTAGTAGTAGCAACAACAACATCAACACCAGCCCTAACCAGTATCACCTCTCATACTCACAGTCGAACTTCCGATGAATGTTCACCATATCACTCCAATAATCAATCATTTACATTCAATGTAGATTCCTATGCAAATCCAAAATGTTTGCCTATTGAAACAGCACCACCATTACCGCCAAAAAGAAACACCACAAATACTATTGCATTGAATGCATCTTGTTCTGTTCATTCTAAATCCCCTTGATGCCCAGTAATTATGAATTGTATCCCATCTAACTGTTTTGGGATTAAATTTGAATCTCGTATTAGCTATGTGATTTATATGGATTTCTGTCTCAATTCTCTTGTCATCCATGCTACTTCTCCACTTTTTTTTCGAAAAAGTGAAAGAATAAAGAGAACAAAAAAGGAGGGTGAAGTTTTTTATCATATTTTTTCTCACTCTTTTACTGTATATAAGTATTTGCATTTGATGTAAACTTGCTTTTCTTAGGCTGGCTGTAGTGATTCTGTCTATCTTTCGCGCTCTACACCCTACCCTTTCTCTATATGATGGGCTCAGTCAAGAATACTGTTGTGCGACATTTATTTTACATTCTTCTGTTTATTATCTACTATCAAATTCATATCATTAAAACAGAAATTAACGGAAAGAATTTCATTTGTGAATCATTTCTTTCCTTTCTGTTTTTTTTGTTCACTTAATTTCATAACTTTTGTTTTATGATTGTTCAAGTTTTATTTGATTTTCTACTTTAATTCTACCGGTGCTCTGTATATTATGAATCAATTTTAAAATGAAGCATTTTCTCTGTGTGCAATGTTTGCTTAATGTAATGTGAACATAGATTTCATTGAACTATTGAACTGTACTTTTCTATGGGATATTGACTATAATTACACCTTTATGATTAGATTGATTTTATTCTAATATATATGCATATAATATGTACCGCTTTTAAAGGATATTTTATTTGAATGATGATGTTCTATTCAGTTTCATCATCTATCTATTCAATGTTTGATTTTATTCCCTCTTTGCACTGTACAGTTTTGTATGGTTGATTTGTTCATTGCTGATCCATTTGTTCATCATATTGTCACGTAGCACATACAGTCTGGAGATGTATATATATATATATATATATATATATATATATATATATATATATATATATATATATATATATATATATTAATTAGATTCGATTTTCATTTCCAGAAAACAACAGGAGAGGACTGCACAAGATAGGATTTTTCAACTTGCTTTCCTACACTTGGATAAACATATGTGTGTATATATGCATTCAACTTCTGTGGCATCCGTCGGATTTGATTTTGTTTAGACCACTACTACTACTACTCTTATTATTATCACTCATTGAATTGGGTAGAAAAAGCTTTTCTATCCCTTCTCATTTAGGATAATAATCAATGATTAGTGGTTTGCTCAAACGGATACTCCAGAAGATGAATGCATATATACACATATATGTTTATCCAAGTGTAGGAAAGCAAGTTGAAAAATCCTATCTCGTGCAGTCCTCTCCTGTTGTTTTCTGGGAGTGAAAATCGAATCTAATTAATATATGTATACATCTCCAGACTGTATGTGCTACGTGACAATATGATGAACAAATGGATCAGCAATGAACAAATCAACCATACAAAACTGTACAGTGCAAAGGAGGAATAAAATTAGACGTTGAATAGATAGATGATGAAACTGAATAGAACATCATCATTCAAATAAAATATCCTTTAAAAGCGGTACATATTATATGCATATATATTAGAATAAAATCAATCTAATCATAAAGGTGTAATTATAGTCAATATCCCATAGAAAAGTACAGTTCAATAGTTCAATGAAATCATGTACACGTTAACCTACAAACCTATCTCCTGCATATTTACCCTAGTTTATGATGAATACCGACTCGTATTTCATGATTTGGTTGTTTGTTTCTCCTAATTATTGCCATTGTGCTTATTACTTATTTCATTTTAATTATGACCCTTTAAATATGTGTGTTTTTACACTAATTGCGATGCGGCATTTTCAGTAATCTTACATGTGAATATATACAAGCGTACGAATAGTAGTATTGTACATGATTTTCTTCTTTTAATCTTGTACACCGCTATATTAGTTACACATGTTGACCTGATGATTTATTTGGTTGATCTGTGGGGGGTGATTCCGACTTCCTTTTTCTTCTGTCTTCTGATTGTAGTTTTCCGTGTTCTTTCTCTTCCTATTATAGTGTATAAATCATGATGATCTACAAAGGTCCAATGTAATTTTATGATTAGTTCTATGTATTTCTGTTGTTTGTGTTGTTTTCTAGTCTTGTTAAAAAGTGTAAACTGGATGTATTTCCAATGTTCACTGTCAAAAGAGGCGATTTAATTCGACTACATTATGATGAAAAGGATTCATGTTTCAGGGGCTGACAGTGAATTTCTGAAATGAACGCAATCGTCATCTGTGTTCGATACGTATTTACTTAAATTGCGAAGTTTTTCAAGATGTTAGAATACCTGAAAGTAATCTGGATGAGTCCGTACTCTGTCGACCAAATTTAAACTCAGCTGTTTTTCAGCGATTACAAAAATATATAAATCTACATGTAACTCTGTCTAAGGCACCGTCCAATGAGATCATAAATGATTAGATGGAAATAGGAGTAAAGTAACAAGCAACAGATCAATGTAGGCAATGGCATAGAAGTCCATTAATTCAATGTGTGACACTGTACAGCAACATGCAAACAACAACTAAATACTAGGAGAGTAGGTTTAAGTATATGAAGGGGGAAAATTGGTGACAGTATTCAAAACTTTGGAATTGACGAGAAGTATACTCATCTCCACAATTGTGATTGATCTCCAGCCACATTACTTAAAGTCCTCGATCATTGATTTTTATCTCAAAAACCGCAACCAGACATTCTGTACCTTCCTACACGGGTTGGATCAACACTCAAAGGCTAATGTCACGTCTTGTTCTGGCCACCCTGAGCATCCTTTCAGTCCAGTTCTACTTCAGCTAACATTAGATGTTGAGGTTGGTGGTGACTCAGCATGCACACTACATGTTGAAGTCACCTTAGCCGATAAAAGTTCAAATTCCCATAGACTAACCTTCCTTACCTAGTATACTTCGCCAAACCTTGACATTACTCACACTCAAAGTACATATAGGTGAAAGAAATGCAAATAGAGAGAAGTATATCAGTATAATTCGAACCAAGACAAAGTATAGACGCATCTACATCGAAAGAATCCGATTATCTGGACATCATGAAATTGATTTCTCTACAGTGACCAGTCAATGCATCTTATTCAGTCCTACGGGAGAAGAATCGCTGTCCGGATTGCTCAGTGATAACGTCACTGACTGTAACACTCAGTAACGCAGGTTTGAGTCTCAGAGGTTATGTCAGTTCCTGCAGGCTCGTGGGTGTCTTGCTGACGGGTGTCAAGAAGCATGAAAACTAGGTCCAGGGCTTCCTACCGATTGCGTCCAACTAAAGAACATCCTCCGTTAGTTTCCAGCTATATTTCTTGGTGTCTTCAGTCAACCTCGTCCAACAACTTAATCTAATAACACTTGAATTAACGGTCATTGACCTCGCGATTTGATAAGCTATCTAGTCTAACTCAACTGTTTAAATTTGAAACTTCATGTAAAAACTGTCTCACCAAAAACGAAAGTAGATCCGATGATGACACCAATGAGGAAATATTTACAGCATTTTCAGTTTACCTACAGTTACTGTATCTCGCTGCCGCTGCAGTTCATGTAGTGCACTGCTTACTTTGCAGTTGATTATATTACTTCGAGTAACATTGCATACTTTTTTGATGCTCCTTCCAGAGAAAACATTAACATGAAAAGTCGCTTATTATGATTTGATATATCACCTCCAAATGCGACAAAATGAACTTTCAGAGACGTCATTGGCTATGTAATTAATTGAACAATTATGAGATGTAAAACATTTCTGATTTTTAAGAGTCAATTAGGCTTTGAGTAATCAGTTCCCCTAGAATGTTTAACCAAAGTACCTCCTCTTCGATTATCACAGAAGGATTTTTCTTTCAGAAACTAGAGTAGTTAGGAACAGTTTCATATATATATATATATATATATATATATATATATATATATATATATATATATATATATATATATATATATATATATTGGATTCGCTTGTTTCACGGAGTATGTTATTTGGTTTTAGTAAAAATTGTAGAGTGATATGTGCAGAAACAGTAGAGTGGAGACTGACAACCAGTTAATCTAAACTGCTGGAGATTTTTCAAAGGCTTTTCAGTTCCTATAATATGGAACTGTGGCTCGTTGTTTTCGGTGGTTGACTTTCAACCAGTGGGTCACGGGTCCGAACAATGCTGCACCTACCAGGGTTTAAGAACTCAGGTAGCATCACTAGCCCCCCACGCAGTAGTTGCGGGTTGTTATCTACGCTACGAAAGACTACACACTAGATTGCTGAGTACATTTCGCCTTTTCAGTTCCTATTTTAGTTGTGTGGTGAACAATGGAACTAAAACTGAATAGATGTCAACTTGGAATTTCTTCACTTGTCCCACAAACTTTTCTATTTATCGTTATGGTGTTACGCACTAATTAATGAGGTAATCCTACTTATCATCGTCCTTCAGAATCAGTCTTTTTAATGTATAAATGTCATTAGAGTATTATTTCTTCTATTTCCTGTCACTAAATTGATTTCACCACCCGTCACAGCCAAGTCAGTTCGTTTTCCAGATACGTTAATTCATTTCCCTCAGATACCAACCAAAATGAGACACATGGAATCCATTATTATTGTTGCCTACAGCCTTCAGAACCCATTGATTCTCACCAACCAATTAGACTACCCATTGTCTCAGCATGACATATACGATAGGAGAACGCATTATAATCTAACGCTTTATCACCTTTCCATAGTTCGTGGGCCAGTTCTTCCCTGCTTCTTATAATATCATTCTTTTCTTATCTACTTCTTACTTGCATTCTTCTGTAAAGTGTGGCGTCTTGACGTGACGCAGCCGTTTGGCAAGTTCCACCTGTTGACTTGTATATCTGGATCACTTCTTGACAATGCTCTTCTACCTAGACTTGCATAGATGTTTTCGCCATGTTTCTTTAAGTCTAGAAATATACATGATCTTTGTTGACTTCCCATCTGGATTCCTCAAAATGTTAAAAGCTTATACTTGGGCACCAAATAAAGTGATATAAAGTCGATTACAATCCACTACCTTTTTATCTGCTCATCCATTGAGCGTTTAACTACTTTTTGCCAATGATTAACTTTTCCATTCTTTTCATTCTATTTATTGTGGTTTTGCCTTTGTCATGGTCAAGCACCCCATTTTCATCACATTTTAGTATGGTTGCTTGCACTGCTTTTCTTCATTGCATGACGAAGGCTGCATTTAACGTCATTTTGTTCGTACGATCTTTTTTGAATATTGAGCCTTGTGGGCAGTATCTTTTCATTCAGTATCAAGCTGAAATGGTTTCTGTATGAATGACAATGTCAACCTTTGCATCGTCTAGGCATCTCAGTTCTTAAATAAATGAAATATAATTTAAAAATCCCCATCAAGTCATAGAACAAAGAACGTTTAGCGAAGAGTTACTCTTTCAAGCGATATCATTCTCAAGCTGTACAATCGCATATATATATATATATATATATATATATATATATATATATATATATAATTCACGCTGTAACAGAGAAATGTTTCATGAAATATTTTTGAATGGAGTTCAGGTATGAATAAAAATCACGTCACAAGAGAAATTACGTAATGTTTGAAATAGTAATAAGAAGAAGACTTACGAATATCGGACTAATATTTAGTTACTAAGTTAAGTGATGTAACATGGTGAATGCAAAGAGAAATTCACCTGCTGCCGTGGAGTAAGGTATATCGACCGTACTCAGCGTTAGTTTTCCAAGCGCATTTCTGAACACATGCCAGCCTGGTTCTACAATGGAGAAGGGAGAATAGTTCACAGCTCTATTCTAGAACATTTGACCGATTATGATCACCCAGTAAGTGCAGAAAACAGCTT